GGTTCCTCCCTGCCTGGTGATACAGTACAGGTAAGGGGCAGGGACTCTAGTATGGGTACTAGGTACGGTGTGCCAAGGTGTACAATACGGTACGACTTGTCGGAGTCGAAGAAGTCAAATTCACTCCCCCCCCCCCTCTCTCTCCCATAGTCTGGCTGGCTGTTGGGGCACCATAGCAGCAGATTTGGCAACCATCTTCTTTTACTTTTAACTCCTCTCGGTTCTCGGCTTTCCGTAGCAAAATGTTCCAGTCAAGGCCTGTCCACTCTTTAACGCTTACTTCCCATCATTTCGTCATTCAGCATTTTCGACTTCCTCAAAATGAACCCCCTACCCCCACCCCTTTGCACCCTCCTCTGGGATCCGCACTTTTTCTGCAGCCTTTCTACAGCTACTCCTTGGCCCCTTCTAATCTTTCAGCCACACCCCAGACCTTAGCCTTTTCGCATAAAAGAGTGAAAAAATCTCGAGGGTCCCGTGTGCAAATTACACCCGTTAAAGATCCCTTGGTGGTCCTGAAATTGATAGAGTAGGCTTCGGCAGCTACCATGGCAACATTTAAAATTAATTCCTACCAAAACTGAAAATGCTTAATGTCTCGCACGTTCATATGACCGTACGCAGTTTTGCGAGCGCTGTTAAACACTTACCAAAAAAACCCCCCACAAAAATCAAACACTGTGTTGTAAGTTCCTAACTCTATTAATAGAACGAGCATTTTGGTCATTCAGCAAAGTTTGAAGACGCGATGCTGTGGGGCATTTTTTTAAAAAGAAGCATAATAATTTCGTACTTTATTCCGATTTTTGTTTCATGTTTCAGTAAAAGTTTTACGGCACTTGCAACACAATAAGTTCATATGAGAGCCGAAGATTAGAAGTGTTGCAAGAGAGTAACAAACACAAAATAGAAGCAGGGGAGATAAGGACGATAGATGTTTGATAGGAAAGAAGGAGCTAACCACACTAGAGCACCCACCAACTACTCACATTCAGATTTTTCATTTGCTGGCTTTATAAAAAATTAATTTAAGAAAGCAGGCAGCACACTTGGAATATCTTTGCATTTCAGATTTTTCTGTGATGGTTCAATATGTGCTGCAACATTGACTTTGTTTTGCTGATCGGACATATTATTATATTAGCCTATGTCTCCGCTATATTGGGGACAGCACACACACAAGCACACATACACTTGATACACACACACACAGATATATAAAATCAAGAAGCAAAATTCATAGCAAGAAGCTTTTTATTTTCACTAAAGAATTGACCTTCCAATTCTCATAAAGACAAAGGACAAAAGTAAAAGTGCACAATCACATACTCAACAATGTTACCCACGTCATTTTTTCAGAGCACAATTGCACTCACATACGCATGCATGCATGCATGCAGAACACAATTGCATTCACAAACATGCACGCATGCATGCAAGCAGCCTTCACGCACACACACACACACACACACACATATACACGCATACAAGTAGTTATGCGACTTTTCGCAAACAAAATTTAGGAGGAAAAAAGCAACTTAAAATTTGAATGTTACCTGCAAATTGAACACAGGAATACATATACATGTATTTCTAAAATGACTCAAGTAAATGAAGCACAAAATAGGATTCAAACACAAACTTTGCAGCCCAACCTTTCTCCTCTACCTACTTAACAGTAATCTCCATCTAAAAGTCCAAAATATATTTAAACAAACTCCCGTTCCCAAACTACCTATAACTAAAGCTTAAAAAAAACAAAACTTTTAAAGATCCACTTCAAACAAAACAGGCTGTTATTTCACACTACGTTATGTTATGACACACTTCTAATGATAGCAAAATCCTCATACACTTCTTTCACTTCACGTTTTTCGTGCATTTCTGCTGAAAGGGGGAAGAGGTGACAGTAGAAATTTAAATTCACCATAAGGGATGCACGTTTAAATAGATTCATTAACAACCACTGATCTATTCTCATCCAAGATCAGGCTAGGACGAGCAAGCAGAAAGAGTTTTTCTACATGAAGTACACTTACACACATGCACAGTTGTAATTATACTTGAAAAAGCGAGAGCTTGCCAACATGATTTTTCTTAAAACCTAAATATTACTCTTTTTTTAAAAGCTGCAACATTTGGTATCAGGGAAAATCAGCAGTACTCCAACAACTTTTATTCCTGAATGTGAAAAATATTTGTAATACATGCACAGAGGTGCATGAAATTACAATTCTTTGATTCACCAAGACAAAGAAACTGATAAAATAACTTATTCCCTGGGTGAAACAGAAACTAGGCAAACCTATTTTATGTGTTTCATGCAACAGCTATACGCAACCAAACTGTGCCTTCAGCACTACCACTAGAAGGGGAAAAAAAAAAAATTATTCGAAAACAGGAAATCTTGAGGCTGTCTTAGATTGGCAGAATTATTAACAGAGAATTATGCAACCATAGCCACTGTAAAAACAATTACGCAAGTGCCTTCAGCTGGTTGACATACAAGTGTACATAGCATTTACCAATACTCTCTCTCCTTCTCTCTCTCTCTCTCATTTTCTCTCTTCCATCAGCTTTCTCACACACATGCATGTGCACACTAGTGCTGTGCGATTTTGAGGAAATCAAAACTTCACTTTAAGTGCAAGTTCACTATTCATGCTGCTCAAATACTGTGTGCAAATGCTGTCCTATTTCACATGAACGATAAGTCCATCCCCTCTTCTGCTATTCAACATTCACTAACTGTTCCCACCACTATTCACCAAGCACACATGTGCTGGCTCGCACACAGTGCGAGGCAATACAAGAAATCACCATTACCATTCATAACGTTTCAAATTCCGAAAAGTGGAAGAGGAATTCATTTTAACAGCCTTCTAATTTCATGGTAAAATATTCACTGCACTTTGAGAGTTAAGTGATTTTGAGCTATTCATGGTGCGACTAGTGAATACTGAATAGTAGTGAATACTTTTTAGAGGCACATTTTATAACTCTTATTGGCTCACTCTGTCTCGTAACCATCAAGTACAAAGTATTGTTGTACTTACTTCAATTTCAATGATTTTAGAATAGTATGCTCTAATTTCACTACTGTTAGAGAAAAATGAGACAAACATCCACAATCTGTAAAAAAAAATTTGTAAGCATTCTAATGGCTCTGAAACACTTTGTTTGTTAGTTTGTTGGGGTTTTTTTTGTAAGAGTTTTACGGCACTTGCAACACAGTAAGAAGTGAAGAAGATTAGAGGTGTCAGAAGGAAGTAACAAACACAAAAAAGGAGCTGAGACAAGGAGGACAGACGTTCTATAGAAAAGAAGGAGTAAACCACACCAGAGCACCCTCAAACCACCCATCTTTGTTTGTTTGAACAGCTGTAAATAGTACAAAAATTGTGAATGTTGAATAGTAAAATCCAATGGGCACAGCTCTAATACGCACGCTCAAACACAACCACATCCATACTGCTGACAATAGGGTATGTACTATGCAGCCAGAGAACAGCATGCTCCATCAACAGATGAAAAGCTTTTTGGCTCTTGGTACTTGGGATACACAAATAAGAAACATTCAGCAAAAGCGGATGAACAGAGCCAATAGAAAGATAAACGTTGCATTCTTTTTAAAATCAGGTCTAAAGTTCTGGATGTGCACAATCTGGAAAAGGAGCAAAAATTACTCTCACCAAAATTAGCACACTGTGACCCCAAGCATTATCTGTGTCGAACCATACCTCATAAAGTTTTTAAAAATCGCTCAAAAGCTCAGCTGAAACAGAGCCAGATTTACTTGGTTCGCTGCAAAGTATCCTTAACCCTATCTGTATGCCTGGGGTCATTTTGTACCCCAGGGGTTGTATTCTTCACATTTTAGAATACTTCTAGTGCGAAGATCTCTTTGAAACTTTCAGTACTTCTCAAAAAAATCATTTTGACAGACTGCTATGCAAAGTGTACAAAATCGGATTAACGAGTAAATTTACTTTGTGGAAAGTGGTGGCACAGAGTTCCCCACGTCGTATGGATAGGGTTAACAGAAACAGCTTTTCAGTCATTATATTCCTTAGAGAACCTTGACAAACAAATGTGTGGACCTCTTTTTATTCAAATTTTCTGCGCATTTGTGGAGGCTTGATAAAGGATAAAGGAAAGTAACCCTAATATTTAATGAATCCTGTAGCAGAAAAGTACTGCAATTGTAAAGTTTCAACTTTAGTATTACTCAAAATAATGACTTGCTACAGAAATAAGAAAATAATCAAAATAAAAGCATGAGGAAAGTCTGATGTGGTCTTGAAAACAATTAGTGCTGTGGCACTTCAAAAAGTGTTGGAAAGACTAGAATTCTGACAGTAAGCTTCAAATGATGACTGTACGCATTGAATTTGAAAATGTAAGTTATCAAGAGCTTACAATAGGCGAAAGACCTGAGGTCAGACTAAAATGGCAGAAAACATAACAACGAGATTTCTGTTTCTCTACTTAGACAGCACAAATCACAAATAAGGACACGACAATTTCAACCCCAAAGGAGAGAAAAACCGAACTTTAACTTTAAGATTCCACCAATGTCCCATGAACATTAGGCACACAAATTATACAACACCCAGCACAGTGCCTGAGATGAAAACCATCATCCCTACTCAAAGTCAAAGTAGCTGTTAACAATTCTAGACACTTTTCACTATTTCGAGAAATCAGTCAAACAATGCCTGTTAACATAACCAACCTACCCCCCCCCCCCCCCCCCCCAATGCAGAATCAAGCTGAAATCAAATGAAAGACATTTACTTTCCATGAACAGTTATCTGTGCTGTTCTGTAATAAATCGGCACTGCGTCAGTTCTAGCTTGTCCCAGCGAAGAACATTCCTGAGAGTTGACATCAAGAAGATACTTATCTCTCATGTCTCTTCTACTATTTGAATTAAGTAACAAGGCACAAATAAAAAAACCCAAACAAATTCAACTTAAAAAAACAAAACAAACACAATCTTAAAATAAGTCATATATATATTGGTAGAAATATGATTAAAACACTTGCAATTGAAACAAAAAGGACAGATTGAGAACTTTCTCAAACACACCTAAACTTTCCATAAAAACAGCCCAGAAGTTGATTAAACTGCCAACGTAAGTGTGTTGTGCAACATCACAAATCTTTTTAATTTGACCCCCATCATTTTTAGCATTATATATGTCCCTATTACATACACCGCAGAAAAGCTTGAAGTAATGTGAAGTAAGTGGCTCACATTATGGTAATTTCATATGCATTCTTTCTGCCAAATGAAATGAATCAGTCTTTATTTTTTTTTTTTCATTTTCCCTAAATAAAGATTTACTTCACATCTAAAGTGTTTAAGACTGCGCATTCCATTTTTCATCTACATATTTCGCAGCTGGAGACACTAATGAAGAAACACTATCACTTGGGTAGGTTGCCATAGCAACAAGCTCTGGTGTACGCCAGACGCAGTAACTGTGCCAGAGCTTGCTGAACGGGGGCAGCACTTTCTGCTGACAGTTGTGTGCATCTGTCTGCCCGCAGGTTCAGTGACCTTCATCATAAGAGACGTTATCGATAGTTCCAGGGGAACTAGCTTGGTGCTGTCAGCGTTTCCTGAAACAAAAATTTGTATTTACATTAGCTGAGTTTCCCTTCACAGAAATGTACATTATGCAGCATCGGAGAGCTATAGAGGGAGAGCTACCACGCCCAGCCAAGGGTAAACTCCCTTCACTTTGAGGCCATGGTTATATTTAGAACTTGCTCTGATCAGCCAAAAACAATCAGATCATAATCAGGTAGAGTCAGAAAATTGTCAGTTTATTTTTTAAATTTGATCCCAACCATGACCCTTGAATGTGCTGATTGTAGATAACCCCATCACGGCCATGTAGTATTATCACTTCTTCAAATGTCCCCAAAACAATAAGACAGCAAAGCTGAAAACAAGTAATTTCAAAATTTCAAAGCCAAACTGCTACAAATTGTGACCAATTGAAAGTTAGCGTTTGAAATTACACTAACTTAGCAATGTGGAGACCAAAAAGAAAAACTGTGCAAGGTGTTTTGACCTTACAGGCATTCCCTCTGAGACAAGGGAGGAAAAAAAAGCATAGGTATAACAATGTACTGCAATGGGGCCTGACCAAACAGTACTACCTCTTACTCTTAGCATTCACCTAATGATGAAGAATATATTATCACTACATTTGGGCACAAATAACGCAAATACAAAATTGTAAAAAATAAATAAAACAGAAATCAGTATAAATTTACTGTTTGGGGATCAAAGATGTGAATACTCAGCAATAAAATTTGAAAAACAAGCAGGGATAGGATGTACTGTTTGCAGTTTCTGAGAGAAATCAAGAAAAAAGCACAACATACTACATATTTTAAGGCATGACCAAACTTCTAGCTAGTTCCCACAGAGACTGAGACTTAAGTCCCCCAAATCTTACCCTGGCGAGGTTATTTCACTCACTTGTTGCCAAATATGAGATCAGCATCAGGAGCACCTTTAGGATGCTGGTACTTCACCTTCCTCTCACGGTTGATGTTGACCGGCGTTGACTTGCTCATGCTGGCCAGGGTTTCTGAGGAGTTGAACCAGGGTTATCAAAGTACTAACTTTATTTATAAACAGATCAAGTGCTTCATGCGAATTAACAAAAAGAAAATGGAGGAACAAGTTAATGTTATTCTGCCTCAGAAAGTCTTGAGTGGAACAGGCAGTATGTGGTCTTGCATTATCCCGCTGAAAAAGAAGTTCTGATGCCTCAGGAAAAAAGGCACCACCCGAGGCATCAAAGACTTGTGTGGTGTACTGTTAAGCAGTGACACCATTCCCACACTCATGACAAATGTCTGAAAGACGTCATGCCCAAATAACTGTTATAGGGCAATGCTGCCCCCTCCCCCCCACCCCAAATCATCACATTTCACCATTTCACCCCCCCTCCCCAACCGGCCCAAGTAAAAGATAAACTCCTGCACAAATATACAAAAAGCATTTGACACAAAGAGAAGAACCTTCTCAACACTAATTTTTGTTGCCGAGATAAAACATCTTCACTCAAATACGGAAATATCGGAAAACAACAACAAACAACAGAGGAAAGAAGATCTGTTTCTCTGATTGGTTGAGTTGAAAGCCTTCCTACCTTGGTATTCTTCCTCCTCCTGCCTCTCATGGAAGTTGAGCACCATCTGCTTCATCTTCTCCTTCTCGATCCTCTCAGCCTAAAGAACAACACAGTAAACACATATAGCATTTATTTGGGGAAGTACCACATATTTTGTTATATACTCTTCAAAACAATCAGGTAACGACAAATGCGGTTTTTGGGATACCTGAATTGACATAAGGGTCTTGAACATCTAGCTCTCACTGGAAAAATTGAGGGCAAGCGAGGCAGGGGTAGGCCCAGAACAACATACTTAGGGATCCTAAACAAATGGGTAACAGGGAAAGATCAGGGAAACGTAGCTTTTTTGAGAGCATCCGAGCAAAGGAATGAATGGAAAACCATGATCGCCAATGTCTGTCGCAGATCTGGTACTGGATGATGATGACTCTTCAAAAACTTCTTTTGATAGGAAAATCCAAAAGGTGACAAAGCGTTGATTTTCATTATTATTAATAAAAAGATCCGTAAGTCAATTTAGTACACATTTGAAACCTAAAAATAGAAGAATCCATCTAAAAATAAACTAAACAATAGTGCACATGTACCCTAGATTTTAAAAATTGAACATGGCTAAGTCATGGACACAAGATTGAAGTTCTTGTTTATGAAGCAGCAAGAAGTATTTAATTGTACATAAAAAAAGAAAGGGATAGTCTACATACCTGCTCTCTTTCTTTGAATTTCGTGGCAAATTCTGCAGTCATGGGGATTTCAAAATTAGTGAGCTGAAAGCAGAGAGAAAATCACATTGTACATACTCGTCATTGATCATAGACAGTAACATCCACTTTCATGTCCTCTCTCTACCCTGCACCTGCAGCTATGCATTACCCCCCCCCTGCCCTCATGCAAACTCTTCCTGTTTTTCAGACTCCATCACACAATCATCAACACGCAATGAAGCATGAGCACATGCACACACATACACACACACACAAACACATGCAAACACCTGCACACACACACATGGACAAATAAAGCTTTTGAGATCATAAAAGCAATTCATTTCATGACAGGAAAAGCAAGCCAAATTCTAACATGGTTCATACCTTAGCAAGCTGTCCTGCTTAAGGGCATTTTAAGCAATTTCAATTGGCATACTTTGGTAATCTTTTTGTAAGTTGATTTGTTCAGGTTTTGTGTGAGTGGTCTTTCACAGACATAAAACTAATTAACAGATTTAGCTATCACGGTGAAAAGAGGGAAACGGGCATTAAGTGCTAATCCTGGGGAAAAATTGTTGTGCCTGGATCAAACCTGAAACCGTGAACATGAAAGTCCAGCACACTAACCACCAGGCTTTTCCACCTTTTTTTAATATTCACATTTAAATTAATGCCTTTGTGCTACTCTAAAAACACACGCACGCACACACACACACACACACACGCACGCACACACACACACACACACACACACACGCACGCACACACACACACACACACAGTGTACCTGTTGCTTATTCCCTCTACGAGTCATGAGCAAAAACTTGAGACCGCTCTCTCCTCTCTCCTCATCCTCTGCACCTTTCTCCAACAGGTTTGGGGCTGAGGGGGCAGGGAAATACATGCAGAAATTAGCACCTTTGTTTTCACTTTTGCTAAATTTTTATACTGTGCACATGATACAATCTAGACCCTTTCAAAGGCAGAGAGCTTGATCTTCTTTTACTGTGACTGTCTTACACCGACATCTTACAACTCAGATCAGTTTGTTGCCACGTTTTGGCTTACAGGACACTCCGCTGGGAGAAAAGTACCCCGGGAAGACAAAAAAGACTCAGACTCCAGTGCAATCTGAAATGTGAACTTTCACATGCATCCAAGACACGTTTATGATCCACCTTGCCACAACAGCCTCCTTCCACCTTCCCCTTCTCAGCAACTTAAACAAAATGACAGGTGATGGTGATATAAACTTTAAGTGGTGAAAATTTCTTCAAGGGACAAAGAAAGAAAGAAAGGTGGGGGGGGGGGGGCGGGGGAGAGAGAGAGAGAGAGAGAGAGAGAGAGAGAGAGAGAGAGAGAGAGAGAGAGAGAGAGAGAGAGAGAGAGAGAGAGAGAGAGAGAGAGGGAGAGAGAGAGAGAGAGAGAGAGAGAGAGAGAGAGAGAGAGAGAGAGAGAGAGAGAGAGAGAGAGAGAGAGAGACATGTGCAGGTAAAGAGATGTGAAGGATAACCACATTCAGCCCGTAGAAGACTATCTGACAAACTGAGCAGAGCACACATGGGTTCACACTCACTGGCCGGTGCTCCAGCTCCAATCTTCTTGGTTTTGTTCTTCAGTTGAGTGGGTAGAGCAATGTCCAGCTGCGGCACCTTCAGAGACTCCTGAGTCCTGGCCTAGGACGCAACAATACCATGTAAGAATGAAGATTAACCAAACTTTACTTTCAAGTGATAACCATTAGTGTGCTACTATTTTGTACTAACTGCTGGGCTGGGAATTGCAGGGTGAGAGATAAAAGAAAAATCTGAAAGAACCATTAAGAAAACCAGCAAGATCTCTGGATATAATTTTAATGGAATTGATGACCTGTTTAAGATCACAAGCATAAAAAAGATAAATAGCATTAAAAATGACCCATCACACCCCCTTTCCACACAAATTTTAAGATCACGCAGCGGCAGATATGTACCTCTAAAAACAAAGAAAGAAAGATACAAGAAAAGTTTTTCACCATCTAGCATACGGCTACTGTCAGAATAAACATCATTGTATATTACTTTTTTAAGTATGTATCTATAAAACTCTAAAGGTCTCGTAATTAAATTCCTGATGGAGTTTGAACAGTGCATCTGATGTGATATGTACATTTGTCAGCTTTACTTTTCTTTTCATATTGATTTTTAATGAGAGTAATAATATATAATTTAAACTTTTATGTATACCTGCATGTGTTTTTACGGTCCTGTACAGCCAAAAAGAATTTCCCTCTGAGACAACAAAGTATTATCTTATCTTATCTTATTATTGTGTGTGTGTGTGTGTGTGTGTGTGTGTGTGTGTGTGTGTGTGTGTGTTTTGGGGGTGGGGGGAGAGGTGTGTGTATGTGTGTGTGTATTTTTAGGGGGCGTGTTCGCGTGAGTGCATGTTTGTGAGAGAGAAAAAGAACAACAGACAGACAGATACAAAAAAAAATTAAAAAAAAAAAAAAATTAGTCAAGGAACAGCATTGACAAAATTGAAATTTTAATTCCCTCACACCAAAAGCCAAGGTATAGTGCATGAGCTTGAGCATTTTTAGTGAAAGTTTTAAGAAAAGGAGCCTCCCCCTTGGCAGCAAAGTCTTCACACTCACCTGAATGGTTTCATTCATCATCAGGTCTAGCGCTGCCATGAAGTCTTCATCCTCTTTACTGGCAACTGGCTTCAGCTTGGTGACCTTGACCTGCTCCATACAGAAAAAAAAGAGAGTTAACTACTTGCTTTAATCTAACGATCATTTGAAAGCAAGTTATAGTCCACCATACTTGTCTGATCTTGCTTTTCAAGCAACGCTTCCTTTTATCTTTGGCTTTAGAAACATCTTGCAGGAACCAATTTTATTTGGAGAAAAGCTTTCCGCTCAGCTGTACATCAGTATCTAAAGAGTATTCCTAAAAACGAAGACCTAAAGGCTTTTTATAACTGAATACAACAAGTGCAAAAGCATGTAGCAGTGTGATTATGAGCAACATGTTTTAAAAATTAATAAAATCAAAAGATTTATTTTTGATGTTACAACAACAATCTCATTTTGTGTGAATACTCCCCTCGTAATACAGTGAGACCAAGCTCAAAATCTTCTCATTTTGATGAACAACACAGTCATATACAACTCAAAGATTGTCAACCTAGGACATTCATCTCAAATCCTTTTTCAATTACAACAAAACAAAATATTGAAAGATAACCTACAAGTCTTCTCCTTCTAGAAATAATACAATGAGATGTAACTCTTGAGATCACACCAACCCATCCCAGGTTTACCTCCGCTTCTTCATCCTCATCTGAGTCGTCATAATCGTCTTCAGTTGAGGAACCCTCATCTTCACCTTCCTCTCCCTATAGACACCAAGAGCGTCAAATTAAAAAAATATTGTATGAACCCAGAATTTGAAAACAATTCAGATTTTAAGAGAAATACTGGCAGAATTTGCATTTAAAGGAAAAGAAGAAAAATGATTAAATTGCAAATAAAAGACATTAGACGCTGTGCATTCAGCAAGACTGAAAAAAAGAACATAGCATTCATTTAAAAAGAATATATATACTTCAGTATGATAAAGAAAAATGCATGTGGAAATTGAAGGCAGCTGATAAGACATCTTATATGTTTAAATGCGACATGTGCACCTGGATTTTCATCAATGCTGACAGTAGGAACACACATCTCATGACAACAAAGGGGTTAAAAAATCAACAATAAAAAACACTGGCACATTGACCAGTATTATGAAAGCCTGTCACTTTGACAATACTAGTATGTTCCCCAAAATAAAGACAGTATCAAGTAAAAACCAGACAAAGCTGTTACAGCACTGACCTCCAAATCATGACCACTCAGACTTGTCTCGCTGTCCTGCGTTCCGGAGCCTTCCGTTGCCCCGCCTGACAAAGTGAGGTCCTCTTCATTCTCTTCTCCCTCTGCAATGGTGGCTAGCCCATCTTCATCTTCATCCTCCTCCATAGCTTCGTCACTGTCATTTCCCTCCTCTTCTTCCGTCTCAATCAATGACAGCACATTGGCTGATTGAAAACAAAAAAACAAAAAACAAAATGAAAGATTACTTTAGACTCCTTTAGTTCTATCAAAGTTAAGTGGAAACTTCAACTCAGTCAGGCTCCTCTAAAATCTTAATCAAAACCACAACAAGGGGTTAATGAGGGATGGGAAAAAGGAAAATGAGGAAGAGGGGCTGGTAATAATAGTATTATTTTTCTTCTGCTTTTGTTTTCACTGTGCACAGGAACAAAAACCTAACAAAAAACAATGCAATTTGCCAAAAAGAAGGCCTGGAAAAATGTCTCTATCGCCTTACAGATGTTGATCGTACCTACAAGTAAAAGATCTAGTATTCATATATCAACAATTCTCATTCATTCAAACAAAGTTCAGCAGGATCCCAACAAAGGAGAACAGCATCTGTTTAATGTACCCTAACACTGCTCGAGCACTGACCAATTTTGGCTCTGTATTCCGTCTCCAACTGCTCCGCAGCATCGCACGCCTCCTGGTAGCTCTTGAACTGAACCATCTTGGGCCTCACAATCTCCAGGGTCTCATTCATAAGATTCTCAACATCAATCGGGAAGCGATGTTCAGCGTTAAAGATTGGATGACTCCTCTTGAACCAATAATAACGCTGCAAAAGGGGGGGGGGGGGGGGGGGAGGGGAGAGGATTGATATAATCTGGTGTGTTGAGTATCTATTTCACATTGTGTTCACTACACAGAGGCAAAATTAACATCTGCTTCGACATGAGAGGGTAGAAAGCCTTTACGTCTTCAGAAAACATGGGTACAAAACCAAATGTAAATCACTTGCATAGTAGACCATCCAGACCAATTTGAACAACAGTACATTGAAATGAAGAAGAAATTCATCAAGAACCCCCAGCAGAGCAGATCCTGACTTTACCAACTGAGCTTCACGTGTGCCAAATACTTTATAATGACAAACCTTCCGAAAGGTGGGTAGAGAAAGGCAAAGAAATAAAAAAAGAATATTTAACAGCTAGAAAGGAAAAGTAATATGTAATCTTCTCCATAGGAACTCTATTATGTTTTTAAAATAATACCCATAGCTTGCAAATACATCATACATGATTCACTATGTATGTACCCTGGAGGACATTCACAGGTGCAGAATGTAATATGATCATGTGCATAGCAACATCATAAATAAGTATACAGATTTTACACATCCCCACTTAACACTATTATTTATACCCCATGTCTGATTTTTGTCCACCCTTTCAATGTTGAAAAGAAACCTTGATTTTCCCTTCATTGTATTAGACCAAAAGAGAAGAGAGAAAACTGGAGTATCCTTATAACCATAGCAACCACAGTCTTTCCAATTCATGGAAGAAAAATCATTTAATGTAGGGACTGCAAGGTTTCAAAGATTAGATAATGAAAAAAAGGATAAGCTCATCAAAACAAAAGTAAACATGTTAAGTAATCAGAAAAGGGCATGAGCTTTGTAGCTTCTGGATTTATTACAACTACATTGACCTATTTGGCATTAAAACAGTGAAGCTTTAAATCTATGCATGCATACTATAAACCAAACTTTCCAAAAGATTAGTACATGCAGCTTATTTTGTCTTCATTAATCAGACCCTGGGCAGACTAGAGTGCTGAGTCATCATACACAAATTACCTGAAAGTAGACCAGGAAACAGTCCAGCTTTTTCTTGCTGGAACCTTTGTCAAAGTACTGGCCACAGGTCTCCAGTGTGACACAGATCAGTCGGATACGGAACAGGTGGTCGGGCAGGTCTAGGGGGCTGATCACTTTTTCTGAGCAAAGTGGACCGAAAACATTAGTCATAAACAAACAGGCTAAATAAAATGATACTGTACTTTTCTGGCTAACTGATAAATCGACGAAAAAAATGTCAAAAACTGAGAATCAGCAGACAATTGCTAAAATCACTTGCATCAAAAGGAATATAATCTGTCATTACAACTTTTAAAGAATGTTTTGAGCATCCCATATGTCTAGATTTCCTAACATATTTGGTTAAGTAGCACACCTATGACTACAATCATGAGACACTTTCTTATACTGCCAATTCCCTCTTTCAAACTCCCATTCATTGACAAACATGTGTAGACAAACTGATGACATCAAAACTTTAAACTCTGATGAATTTAAAGAAACGAGTAAAGATCAGTAGCCATTGAGATCAATAAAATATACCTTTTCTCAATTTTTTCCCCCCAAAATGATCCTACATTCTGTAACATCACCATGACAGCAGCCTTGACTTTTAGACACGAGCCTTGTTGCATGTGAAAATATTATCCCTATAATCACTCTTTCAACAAATTCTAAGTATACATATGTTTATCCTTTTATAACTTTCTCTTCTAGCAGGGGAATGCTCTGTCTCACTGTTGCAGAGAAAACATTAACCCTATAATAATAATAATAATAATTATGTAGATCGTTTCTATAGCGCCCACTCCCGTGTGAACACAGCTCTTTCAGCAAAAGTTGTGCATATGTATGTTCAAGCTTATTATGACTACTTCTCATAGTTACCACAAAGTTCGTTTTTTTTAAAAAGTGCACTGGGAGGCTGGGTGGTGGGAGCATGCTAGCTTGCGATACTAACCATCCAGTGAAACGCCAAAAGTGATGAGAGAGTAGAGAACTCTAAAGATGACAGAGGACTCCACCATCCTGTAGTTGTAGAGCTCACCCAGGTATTTCACACAACTCACTCTCCTCTGGTTGTACCTGGGATGGTTCACCTGACAAAAAAAACCCAACTATCCTGACAAGGAAAGACTCAATCATATTCACTCGAATAAAAGAATAGGTGTAACCAATCATTTTACTTCAAACATCGAGGCACAATCGATTACATTTACTTACCGTCTTTTTCTCTTATCTGCACCTCATGTCACTCTATCTTTATTAGTAGTTTAAGAATATAAAACTGAAGTAAAGTTTTAAATCCTGACAAGGTGTAGCTAATTATATCTATTTGATCTATAATGTGGCATAATCAGATTTTAAAAAACTATTCCCATAATGGATCCTCAAATATGAATTATGGTACAATTTTATATGGAGCTAAATCACAGGTTTAAAAAGCTGTAAATCTTGCTTAAAGCCCCAGTTTGGATATAATCTTGCTAACTGTACTTCTTTTGTAAAAATCTCTTTATTTTAAAAAGACTTTGCAGGTTTTGTCCAGGCCCCATATTTCAAAGTTGAAGTATAGTTGGAAATGCTTTTTTCTACAGTATGTGTCCAAGACCATACTCGCAATGAACGGCTGATTTGTCAGAAGGTTAATGAAGACGAGCAGCAAGCCAACACAGGGAAATAAATAGTTACAATATATGCAGTAACGACAGCAGAAAAGCCAGAAACCATAAACCTCAGAAACCATCCTACTATTCATCCAAATTTGACCTAGCTTCAGGAAAGCCTAAAGTGAGTTATATTTCTTGAAATATGAAGAAAAACCCCATTTTATATTGAACTCTTGAGAGGACCCACGTACAAAGAGAGGACCCCCCCCCCCCCCCCCCCCGACGTAATTATGACGAATGAGAATGAACTGCAGCCTTATGAATAGATTAGTTCATGGCCAGTGTCTCTCAAAAACAAACAATCGTACATGCAATTACAAACTTGAGTCTACATATTTTTTATCCCTCTTCAGTAACCTTCGCAAAGAATGAAAAATGACGGAAGCCGACAAAATTACAAATGGCATCTAGATTCATGAGATATGTTTCATGAGATATGTTTTATCACTATTGCTTACCTCCATGCCAAGGCGTATGTCTTCCAACACACCATCCACCACTTGGATTGCCACATGTTCCTGAAGAGAAAAAGAGGAAGAAAAACACTCACATTTATTGCTATGTTATACTCCAAGCTCACCCAATGCTTGAAGCATTTAGAAGAAAGTACTGATTGGCCCAAACCTTGGGAAAAGACAATGATGTGCAAGTAGTAATTATTACGGAAGTTAGCAAAGGTATCAATACTTAGGAAAACAAAATTTTAATGATTAATTTCCATCATAAATCTGTTTTTCTACAAAAGTCCAGTACCTTTCAAGTGATTATTGCAACCAGATTACAAGAGAGGCAAGTAAGTTAAATTTAAATGAGCAAGTTTGTGACAAGAAAAATCAAAGCTTACATGAAACGGTGCAATGCCTGCCAGCAGGTTTGCAGCACAGTGAACAGAGTTGTAGCGAATGTTCCACACAGCAGTTAAGCACTTGGTGGCATAGAAAGCAATCTGAAAAAAAAAATGTTTAATGCGTTTCATCATCATTACAATTCAAACATTTTAGAATAGACCACAAAAAGAAGTCTTGGGGCAAAAAGAGAGAACAATCTTTAAAAAAAAATAAAAATTCCAGCCCATTCTTCAATAGCCTAATATGATAAAATACAAATTCATGTTTTAACATGAAAACTATTAGAAACCAATCATACATTTGTGTGAAACTGCATAGCCTTAAAAAGGAACACTACAAAGCAAGACTACAAGCCAGATCTGTAGGAAAAGAATAGAATGGCTGTATGATTAGAATAAATTCATATGTTTCAGTCAAGCAACAAAAAAGGACCATAGATTATGATTTTGAAAAAAAAAAAAAAAATGTACTCATGTAGCAAACAACAACTTAACAAGGATCATTTGCAGTTGGCGCTGAGCATCCAGTTATAATCCCTTCTTGTTGGCAGACAACTTTTGACCGATTACTCCCCACTTACTCCAAGCACCAGCAATCTACCATAGTTCAAATCTATGAAATTTATTCAAAAACTATCTTTTGACTTCTGTGTCTGGTTCAAAGGCCTGAATAGTATCATTTTTCTCAGCAAAAGTTGAAAAGAATGATTGTTTATTCTGCATTCTTGGGGCAAGTTTTTCCAGCACTGTGACTCATGATTCTCTCATACCAAATCATAGAGTGCAGACAAGCACATTTTTTATCAAAAATTTTGTTCTTTTTATTTCACTTTCCCCACATATTGTTCGAACACGAATTACAGAAGTTTTGCTCACCTCTGGGTCATCCCACTTCAACTTTCTCATCTGCCTCAACACCTGAGAATATACAGCATGAAATCGAATTTATTATACATGTAGCAAAGAAACATTCACATAATTTCTGTTCAGCTAAAGACATAGACACAGCATAACTAACTCAGACAGCACTGTGCAAAGATAGTGCATTGCAGGGTGATAAAAAGACATATAATCTCACCTTTTCCACCGTGACTTTGGACAAGTCCTTGTACAGCAGCTTGCGAATGTACTCATGCATCGGAGGCCTTTCTTTGCGAGGCACTACCTGGATCTCTGGTGGGTTACTATAGTAGAAGGCATTTTCAATCATCGTCTCATAGCGAGTCTCTAGCTTCATGGCCATTTTCTTTCTCATCATTACTTCCTGGGAAAAGTAACAAAAATGCACTGTTAAAAATGTCATCCTAAGAATTCCTTTGAACACGTACAAGGGGCTCCCTGGGTATTGCATTATTTCTTGAACTTACTGAAAGGAATGAAATAAAAAGTATACAGGCACTGAGCTTACAGATGGATAATAGACTGACAAAATAAATGAAGATTTAGGAGCTTCTGAAACACCTAGACAACTGGACATTTCAGAGAAAGAAAACAAAAAATGAGTAAACGATTACATCGTGAGAAAGATAAAGGACTTAAAAACAAACTGATGAATGGGTTTATTTCGCCGTTATTTGTCTGAAGCATTGCTAAACACAACACACATCATTTGACATGCAGAAAACATTGTAAAATGTTGGGAAAATAATCCCAGAAGGATGAGACAAATTCTAACCTCACTTTGAATCAAATCCATATTTCAGCATGGTTCCTAAAATGTGCAACCACTCACAACAATTTAATAAAGCCGTATTACCACTGCAAAAGAGGCAAGAGCTTCTGTTACTAAAAACACACTGTCTATCCAAAATTAACACAGTAACTGAAAATAAACAAATGCAAAACAGAAAGTAATTTCCATTTTTTAGGTGTAAACTCCTGTACAATGCCCCTTCCCTAGCTATTCTAAATGGCGAGGCTGGAACCAAAAGCCTTCATGACTCACCAAGTAGACTTTGGTTCTGTAATGAGAGTCAGGAGAGCGGTACAAGAAGCGACCACAAGTCTCCAGAAGTGCACAAGCCATCTCAATGTTGTGATGTCGAAAGTCAAACATGAGCATCTGTCAGAGAAATGTTGGTAATACAATGATTGGATCATGAATATTTTATTTTCTTAAAAAAACCAAGAACGAATAGGTATAAAGTAATTCATACCATCAATGATAGCTATTCAGCCATTATCATCTACGTGAGAATAATATAATTATGCACGTTTATCCAACGACTATTCCTCTGTATGTGTGTGTGTCTGAGTGCGCCTGCATGTGTGCCTGCGTGTGTGTGTAAGCGTGTTGACATATGGGCGTGGGTGTGTGTATTTACCACAGTCCAGCAAATTTCTCTTTGTGGAGATCAATAAAATGTTATCTTATCTTATCGTATCTTATAAATTTCACTACTTACTCCTGATTCAAGCTTCAAATGACTCTTTAATCCTGACCAAAACACACACACAGACATAAGTGTGCATGCAGTTACACATGCATTTACATAAACAAATGAAACTGCCCGAAAACCTGAACAAACAACTCTATTTCTCTCCAACGTCATTATTCCAAGACTTGAACTCTGCTGAATAAACTTTTACCAGTCCCATCCTAAAATCTAAAGTCGGTTATAAATAGTACACACTGTGTCTGAGGTATAGCTACAAGGAACACAAACCATGTACTACTCAAGCATATAAAACATCTGAATTACACAAACATCTTTTGTTTTGTTTTAAAAGTAATCAGCACAATCAAAATTTATCAACTAGCACAAAAGTTAAACATATGAATATGAGAAACAAGATAATGGAAAAATAGCTCTCTGATGTCCTGCTTAAAACAACATAAACGCATTATAACCATAGCCTGAAGTTTTCCTGAATTGGTTCTTTTCTGTTTTATGATGCATTATCTGTGAAAGGAACAAAAATTTTGACAAGCATTCAATTTTCCAATTTCTTAAAAGTCATGAGAAAAAACAACAACATTCATTTCACCTTCAAACATTGGAGAGCCTCAATCTTTGGGCAGACCTTGAACTTGACTAGCTCACCTGAAGAATATGTGGAAATGTAACTGAATAGTCAAGAGAGCCCAACATAGACACAGAGATAATGACAAGTAATGCAGGTGGTTACTTAAAACCTAAATTCAGAGAAAACTGTGCTGCAGCACTTGCCTGGAAGTAATACTACTATTTTTCCAATTGTTCAAGTAAAAATCATACTAATTTTTCACTTTAAAACTGTACATGAAAGATGCAAATTTACCAGCCTAGAACAATTTTTCATGTTGAAACTTTAATACAAACTTATCAAAATACATAATCATCGTGTAAATGTAACTAGAAACCTTTCGGTTCCTCTTATTCCTTTCCTATGTCCCCAGCTACGCCTCAAAGGTAGCCATCGTTACTTCAATAAACAGTGCAGAGTTGATGTTACGACAACTTTTCTACAACAGATTTGAATCCCTTGTCTTTCATGTGTTCTTCATTATTTAGAAAAGTATGTATGGTTTTATGAATTTCAGGGAAACTTTGGAGTTCACAAAAATCAACAACAACATCTCAAAAACCACTTACCAATAAATCTGACAATCTTAATTTTAGACTCGATATTGATCTGGTCCTTCTTTCGCACCTGAAAAAAGACAACAATTTGACTAATTTGAAAGATGCTGAAAAAAAAAGTACACATTGAGACTTATGACAGAGCAACAATAAATAGTGGAATGAGTTTGTTGAAGCAAATTTCAACATCCACTCAAAACAGGTAGAATACCACAACAAAAATTAAAATCATCGAAGCCCACTATGAACTACTTGGAGGATAATATGGAAAAGTATACGCGTATTTGTGCACCTTTCTTTCTTTTCACATTAAGTTACAAAATACTGACACACTCTGAAGCATTGCAAGACACATTTCCACAAGGAAAACAGGAGCCTCAAGATGGAGCTATATCCAATCAGTTTAAAAATTTCCCCCAAATTATCACATCAATACAAATTAACCGGGGGTGTTAAATACCCTAAAAAATCACTCTTAAAAAAAGTTTAAAGGTTAGCAGGATGCTGTAAAACATACATGCCACTTGAAGTCCGACTTCAGCATCTGCACCAGATCTGAGGCAAGCTCCGGCATACATGGTTCTAGGATTGCGACCAACCGAGAATAGAATGGGAGGAGATCATATCTGGATAGGAATGACAAAGAAAAACATGAGTGAATTAACAAACATCACTGATCTGAACTTTTATACAGACACCATACCAAAATAACTCAGTGGGTTAATTTCTTAAACTAGCGTGACTTAAAAAAAAGAATTCAAAGAATCAGAAGGAGCAATAGTTTTTATAAAAACCACTGAAAAATGCAATGTTTTCCAGCTGACATTTTTCTCTCAGCCTTTTATCAGAAGTGAAAACCACACCAAAAGATTCTTCAACCATTTTCATTCTTAGAATCAAACTTTGAGGGAAAAAGACATTAGACAAAAATAAATGTATAAATACTATGTTAAGATTTCAGTTTAAAAAAAACCCAATAAAACAATCTTAAGTTTAATTTTTTGTTGCTGAGTAGTAAACAAGTCTGGAAAAAACACTCAACCTAAAGCCTTGATGCACTAAAGGACTTTTCACCACTTCAATATACTTGCCTGGTTCTATGTACAGAAAATAAAGCTTTCACAAGCTTCTTGCGGTTTGACTTGGTGTTGAAGTTCATGCAAAATTCCACTGCAGTCTGTAAAAAACAAGATTATTTTCTTGATGAATCTAACATCAAAATGGAAAAAAACTGTATAGACCTCTTTCTTTTTTCATCAAACTGAATTATAGTGAGAGACAAACAAATCTTAATATGAATAAGTAAGGTTTTCCAGCCACAGGAAGAATCATTAGCTTTAAAATACCCTTGTTGACAACATTGATTTAAAAAAATACAAGTGTAATCAGAGAAAAAAAAAAAATAACTGTCCATCCAATTCAAAATGATTGTTTAAATATACAAAAACATGGCAAAGTCTGACTCAAACTATTCAGAATAACCAGCACTCTCCAATACAATTCTCGGTCCAAACTTATCTTTTACCAGTTCTATTATTGATAACACTGATGTTATTTTGAAGTCTTATTAGCATTAAGAGCTAATACATCCTGACTGAAAAGTTGGGGTTTTTTTTTCACCACTCTTAGTCTGATCCTCAGAAAGTGCCTGTTTGACTCCTTCATAGGGAAGATATCTATTAAGTACCTTCTTCTTTCAACTGGGACGGAGTATCCCACAAGGCTGAAGGTGACCCTAAAAGGCTGGGTCTAAGCAGTCCAACTTTATATTGATCAACATTGTGTTTACAAAACATCTCAAAATCTTTTGTTATTTCTTAAGTCCCTTTCTGTCTAGTGTTACTTTTGAGGTGACCCTTATGTTTCCAAGTGGTGAGACAGGACTCCGTCACAGTTACCATAACAGAGTAACCAAAGCCACTTGCGTTAATCCTAGGATTCTTCGGACAGAACACACAGAATTTCATTACTACATAACCTGGGCCTTCACATCTAGAACATACTTGCCTACTTAATAAATTCTTTCAGTTAGCCCTTTACCAATTATGTTCATGTCTGGGGAACTCATACATGTGTACAAAAAGCACTTAGTCTATATTGTTGTCTTTCTCAGGTTTTGCATTTTAAGTCAAGGTGTTGAACTGTTGAAATATAATCATTTTAAACAAAAACAATGATTGCAAACTCTTGAGTAGACAAATTATACGTTCAGGTGGTGTGTACCTTATCTATGACATCTCTGTTGACAGAGTTCGGCAGAGAGGTCAGAAAAGATTCAAACTGCGCCCGCATCAATGACCCAGTCTCTGTGTCATCATCTGGACATGAATGAAGGTAGGACCATTACCAATACACTTAAGGGCTAATATCCCATAAGAGGAATCAAACATATCTCTTCCATGAACAACAAGGGTATTATGTGTTAAACTATCTATGAAATATCGTGAGAAATTCTTAACAATCTACTCTATATCAGAAGTTACTTCTAGAAGCTAGACTACAAATGGTATCCAGTATTCCAGATATTGCTTTTTAGACCACTTGGTTATATACCCACCTAAAACAGTGAAAAGCAGTATTTTGTTTGGGGGGGGGGGGGGGGGGGGGCAACACCTTAACTAAAGGGGATAGATACCATTTTTTTGTTTTCGAGTACAGTTCTGTAGAAGGCACTTTAGGATTAGAGAATTACACCAATAATATATATGTCCCCATTATAATTTCTTTTTAATCACATGGCAAAGAAACATTTGAGAGCATTCTATATCTACTATGATCGGTTATTTCACTTGGGCAGAGAGTGCAATATGCTATGACTTTTAGAACAGTTAAGCACAATCAGAATAGTTTATGTTGTGAAGCTAGCAAGATTTGGGGAATCAAGAAAATTCAATTAAAAAAAAAATCTTCTTTAGCCCATTAGACAAGTGGATGTAACTTACCTTCAGCCTCTGGCAGGACAAACCTCTCCTCCTCAGGCTCTGACGCAGACTCTCCAACCTCCTGTCTCTCTGCCTCCTTCATGCTCTCTTCAATCCTCTCAGTTTCCAGCTCCTTCTCAATATCGTCAACAGCCAGCTGATCCATCTCTGTGAAAAGAATTGGGGGCTGTTATGAGAAAAAGCAACAGAAATATGTGTGTGTGTGTGAGTGTGTGTGTGTGTGTGTGTGTTATATGAGAAGAGTAGGGGAGGGAGGCTCGATGGAGATAAAAGGTGGGGGGAGGACCAAGTCAAAAATTTCTGAACATACACATTTAATCATATTTTGTACATGCAGATTAAAAGTAGCATTGGCAACAAGAGAGGCAAAATCAAAGCTAGACAAAAAACTTACAAGATCATAATTATCATAAATCAGAAAATAACTTATGTTGTAAAATTTGCCCAACCATACCACCACCACCAACAAAGAAAACAACAGAACAGTACCCTCCTCTAGTCCAGTGTCAGCATTCTTAAGATCATCTTTTGCACTGATGTTTTCACTGTCCCTGTACAAAATCTGGGGATGTAAGAAAAAACATGATCAAATATGCAAGGTGAGATGGTGAATTGGATAAATTAAGTTTTTACAAGTAAGAAATTATTCTACAAAGTTTTTTTGTTTTTTTTGGTGTTTTTTTGTAACAGGAACTAAAACCAATGTTAATCATGAATAAACAGCTGAAACCGGGGCAAAATCTCGCTAAAACTATCTTATTTCAGGATCATAAGTAATTTCACAAACATAATTCAGTTACACACTAAATTTGAAAACATTTCCAAGAAAGGGATCCACTTACACCCGGAATGAAAGCTCTAAGATCTGGCAGAGTCTCGTAGAAAGATCTTGTATCTTCGTCTTCAAACAGCGTCTTGTCTCCTTCATACTGAAACTGTGGAGGGACAAAGTAGAATGAAAAATTACACTATTTGCTTTCTTGTCCTTGTTTTAAAACATCATTTTTTTTCTCTTATTTTTTTGTTTTGTTTTAGTAAGGTTTAACAGCGCTTGCAACTGCATTAGGTCATATGAGCGCAAAGGGGTGGATGTCAACAGAGAAGTCCAAATCGGGAATTAGGCTTACTCTGCTCACCTCTTAAGCCTCAACAGCACAAAGTCTGCCTCGACTATCAAGGCACCCCGTAAATAGCAGTTCACAAGATAGTGACAAACATACAAAAGAAGTAGAGGTAAAACGACGATAATAAGGATGAGGAAAGAAAAAGCAGCAGTTCCCCCTATGTTGTTCCGGCACAGTATGAGCATGATGCTGATAAATCAGCCCATTTACAATTCTATTTTGCACAAGAACATGTTAATATACCTACCCCCTTTGGGAATGGCCTACAGACACTTCAGTCAGTAGCACTTCCCCTGGGGGGGATCTTTTTTTAAGTAAAATTTTTTGGGCCTTACTGTAGCATAATAATTACACAGAGATCTTCAACGTTCAGCTCGACTGATTCAGTACTGTTATGAATCTATCATCTCTCTCTTTTACAGTAAAGGCTATTTTACACTCCGTAACCCCTGGCCCCAAGTGCACTAATTTTTTAAAAATAGTTTGAGCAAGAGTTTTACGGCACTTGCAACAAAATATGGTTATGTATGTGCAACAGATTAGAGCTGTTATAAGAGCATAACAAAACCCCAAAAAGGAGGAGCGATAAGGGCAATAGATGTTTGATAGGAAGGAAGGAGCAAACCACACCAGAGCACTCGCCAACCAACCACCAGTGCACTAATCAGAATACATACAACAGAGGCAATGTATGAACTGGTCTGGTATGGTCTGAATGAAAGCTGACGAAGCCAAAGACAAGGTAATAAGATTTCACAAAAAGATGAAAATCTGGGTCATACCTCAGCATCTTTGAGCGGGTTGAAAATGTCCAGACCTCTGTTCCCATCCTCTCCCCCATCTGAAGAGCATAAATTCATATAGTTATTTTCATTGAAATGTCATGAAGGAAAAAAAGAGAAAAGTTGCTCTAAGCACAAAGAAGAGAAGCACCAGAATTTCAGCAGCAAAAAGACCTTATCACAGTAGTCTCCGCTTACGATCCCGGTTCGCTTAAGATCCCGCTGTTTTAAGAAAACAGAATTTTTACTATACAAAAGTCACCCCTAACATCCCGCTCTGATTCACTCTGAAGGTCTACATTCGGCTAAGATCCCGTATTTCAGATCATAATTTGCGGAACAAAAACCCGGGCGGGCACAGCCGATCAACCAAGAGTGAAAAGTTGAGATCAATAATCTGTCCGTCGCGTCAAAGATCAGCCACTATCGAGAATGTGATCACATACATGTTGTAAAACTCGATGAAGCGATACAATGTTTGCCCTAGACGGGATCACACCGAGGAGTGAACTGACTGACACATTTGTTTTCCCCACACATCACACTCACACCTGAGCTCTCCCTCTAAACTTATATCACTTGCTGGGTGAGTAGGGCCTACACGTACCCTCCAGGCGGGATCACATCGAACCATGAACTCTTCCCTGACCATTGCAGCAGTTGTCCCTACTCCCGAATTTGTGAGACAGACTGAATTTTAAATGGTGCGTTCACAATGTAATGGTGTGTAACGACAAAGACGGTTGGGGGGGGGGGGGGGGGGAACTCGGTCAGAGATGGAAAGCTATAAATTTTCGACAGGTAAAGGGGAGGGGCAGCTGGATAAGCGTAGATCTTGAGACTCATGATAGGATAATAAATGAAAATGGGACGCCTCATGCCACTGTGCACTGTGATAGGTCATCACTCTTTGCTCGCCATATGCCATAAACCCACAAGCGGTAATGTCAGTTCATTTTAGAGTGGAGGGAGACCGTTTTACAGATTATGAGCCTTAACATGGGTCACCATAGATACTTTCCTGGGTTTGTCGGATAAGATCCCGGTTCACCTAAGATCCCGCATATCCTTGCTCCAGAGCACCGGGATCATAGGCGGAGACTACTGTATTAAATATTGTGAAGCAAAAGAATTTTATTAAATATTTACTCTTTGAAGATGCGCATTCTCGCTTGTAGACGCACTGCTTCAGAACACTTACATAACTTTGTTATTCACCTACATTTTAAAATTTGTGTTCTCTACAAATGAAACCTAGAAAAAAAAGATGTACAGCAACATGAATACAATGACATACAAACTTATGTTTCTGATTCATGTATGACCATTTGAATGTTCAAGAACATGACCTTTGGTCTGCTTTCTAGACATGTGTCCTCTGCATCCTGATAGAGTTAAACTTTTAACTCTTGCACTGTACTGCTCCATGTCTTCCGTCATTAATTAAGCTGAAAGAGCATCCTATGAAGATCAGTTTTTAAATACAACCAAAAAAAATCACTGTCACGTAAATTTCTGTTCACTCAGCATTTTCTTCATTCCATGAGCTGCATTATACAGCTGGTAGTAATGTTAACATACAAAAACAATGATCGTTACATACCCTCTTGTTGGAACTCTGGCATGTCCTCATCAAGCAAATCCTGTCAAAAGAAGGCATAGAGAGAATTAGAGTGTGCTTACTCCAGCTCACAACAGACCCCCTCCCCCCCCGGCAAAACCCCCCCCAAACCAAACAGACTCCAAGTTGTCAGAAACAGAGAAATCCATATGGTCGCAGAGTGGAAGTATACATCCAGTCTCCACAGTAACATTCACATTCCATCTTTCAGTTTTGGTAAGAGTTTTATGGCATTTGCAACACAATAAGGTTATATGAGAGCCGAAGATTAGAGGTGTTACAAGAGAGTAACAAACACGAAAGAAAAGGAGGAGAGATAAAGATGATACATGTGTGACATATAGAAGGAGCACTTGCCAACTACAACATTCACATTCAATCCAGAATGGAAAACAATAACAGAAACATATATAGAACAACCAAAGAAACAGATCACACAATAGCATCCACCCACCATCCACTGAGATCCACTGTAATAATCTGAAACGGAACCCAGGACAGGGAGAAAATTCTGCGAGCAAACTGAGTCTAGAAATGCTTCCATTCAAGGAACACAGAGCTACTTACAGCCAGGACAGCTGCACTCGATGACAACTTCTGGAAGGTATTGAATGCTGCCTCGTGCGCCTCTCTCCTCTCAGTAGATACCTCACCCTTGGTCTGTCACAAAAGGTGCAATGGCAATTATAAGGATTGTGTTGAAAAATTTTCAACAACAAAAAAAAAAGAAAAAAGAAAAAAGAAAAAAAAAAGGAAAGAAAATTTATCATGGTCAAGCTGGTACAGCAATGGCCACCCATTTATGTATTCTCGTCACTCAACTTTGCATGGAAATTTGGTAAATAGCATTCACAGACTGCTGAGCTACTTGCCTACTATTCCAAGCTCATCATTTCAACAAGACATTTTGGTTCTCCTGGAAGAAAAACTATAGGCTTTCTTTTAGTAAGTTCAAAGTGTAATCAATTGTCCATGTCTCAATTTATTTCCTTCTGTCCAGCATAGACAGAAGGTGGCTGAGCCTTCAGCATGGCTATATCTAAACTCAACGAAGCCACATCACACACCTGTAAGTGGTTAAGTGCCTTGGTGATGCAGAATTTAAGTGCAATATCATTGACTTAATGGAAACTAAAAGGCTGAAGATGTTTGCCAAACCATAAACTTTTTACTAGAATCAGAGTATGTGGCACAGATAAGTCACATCCTGGACAAGCCTAAAAAGTCTACTATTAGTTGGGCAATAGATAGAAAATAGGCCAATTGAAAGTCATGATCACTCTAACACTGTGGAAACACACAAGAACATATTCCTGCATTCAAATATACAATTGTGTGACGACTACTATCATTTTTAGGAATTTTTGTCCTTCTCTTTTATAACAGCATGGTTGAGTGCTGCCTCCTAAAAATCATAACCAGTATCAAGTGAGCTTTTAAACTTAGCAAAACAAAGACAACTCAGAATAGTGATGGACTATGTCATCAGTCTAGGCTACAATAAGGACGTTGACAAATTAAAACATAGCTTTTACATACAATATAAGAGTAACGATAAGACAGGCCTGTCTCTAACCTGCATAATTTTCCGATTCTGCTTCTCGTGCATCTTGAGGTCCCGATGGGCAGCAGTGACGTGTTTGATGAGAGAGGAGTAGTAATCTTTGAGCAGGTTGCGGCAGCCCTTCTGGCGGTCCGAGGGCAACAGCTGTAAGAGAATGAAAACCAGAAATTACAGCAACTTTAGTTTCAGTGTATTCTCTAAAAAGCCTGGATTCAGTGAACTGGCATTTAAGAGTAACGGCCACTTTGCTATCCTACAAAATAGGAAAATTCGTTCCTTCATGAGGATGACATATTATTTTTTGTTTTTCTGCGGGGACGTATCTCAAACAAATTAGGTCCTCCTACACAGGCAGGGAGACAGCTGAATGTTTCCAAAATCATTCAAACAGCATTTAGTCAATAAAAAAATAATTTAAAACCTCAGTTTCATTTTTGTAAGACAACAAAAGATGTGTTTACCTGACTTTTGGGTACATCAAGTCCAAACTTTTCTGACAGTAATCTGAAAATACAATTGGAACATGTACATGTTAGCACTATTCAGTTTTGTCTATCACTGAGTATTATGGATTCATTACCCAACCACACCTCTTCCATGAACAAGCTGACGTTAAGCTGATGCACCTGAGCGCAGGCCAGAGTATGACTAACTTTACCCTTCTGTGCACCTAAAGAATGCCTTGGCGTACGGCATTGTTTATTTAGCAGTTGATGTGAAGGAGCTCAAATGTACAGGTCTTGTAATTCAGGGAGGCAGGTCTCAAAGTGTTAACTTAACAAAAAAATCAACTGAAGTAACCAGCCTGATTTAATCACAGAAATTAATCAGATCCAACAAAATCGACACAAACAGGGAAAACTTACCTGTACTTGCGAGGCACAATGCCCATGTAGTCTTCTCCGCAGTGCTTGCAGAAGCTGGTGATGATGGGCAAGTAATTGTGCTCATCCCGATCCGAGCTGACCAAGATGGACAGCTGGTTGGCGAGAATTGGCAGCCCTTCCTTTGCAGTGAACACACCACAGGCAATCAGCTCACCCAAGAACCGCAAATCCACACGATATTTGCTGGCATTGCTGATCTGGAAATGATACACATGTGTCATGACGAGGTGGAATTAGGCACTCATCAATTTTTGGGAATGTGGAATTATTGGTTGACATCATCTTAAAGCTTGTTCATTTGTCTTGCATTTCGCAGAAAACCCCCCCCATCTATCTTGATGAGAAGTCAAGATATTTGCTACTGAAGAAGGCGGGGGTTACCTGGTTTCAGAGGTAAAATTAGCAAGAAAATGGCAACCAAAGTTTGGTGACTTCCATAGCTTGAGAGTCCATGGAAAGCGAAAATTTATATTTTTCGGGTCTTTAATCAACAATTTTCCGTAAAAACTAAGCAGACATGTGATTTTGAATGGACATTAAAGTGTTGGGACAAAAACAAAAATATGAGAATGCCGGTATCTTAGATATCATTATTTTGATGAGCACCAGATTTCATGATGATGCCTCACACATTACATGAAAATGAAATAAAAAATTTATTATAAGCTTGCTTAAGCCTAAACCATCTTATAAACGAGACAGCTTTAAGTAGGACCCCACTGTGCTGGAGAAAGAAAGAAACATTTAGAGTTCAAAAAGGGACTTAATTAGAAAGAATATCAAAGCAAATAAAGGAAATTCACAGACTGCGAAAAATAGACAAGGACACCTTCAGTAAGATACAGTACATGTTAAACTTTCCTGAATGCAAAAGCCTGCCATTACAGTAGGAAATGGGAAGTACGCAGATAGTAAGTTATCATACAAAATCTTGTTTATTATGGCATACACACAGACATACACACACACATGAAAGAACATGTTCTTCATAAAAGTGTTGGCAAAAGTCGAAGTCTCCATACCACCCCAAAACCCCTCACCTTTTCATCTTTTTTCGAAAGCAAGAACTTGTTGAAGACTTCGATGAGGGCGTGGCTAAAGTCTGCGTAGCGCTGGTGTAAGAGGCCGCAGACTTGGGAAGCGCAAGGGACATCTGACATTTTCAGTTTAGCCTCGATGATGGCCCCAGCCTGGGGATTGAACATGCAATCAGCCAGGCTCATGGCAGTTTGATGAGGGCATCTATTTCAACAAAGCAAATATGTTTAACTCATTCGTTACGCCGAGCCGTGGGGGGGCGGCGCGGCTAAAGTGCCGTCAGTACGCTAAGCCGCCCCCCGCGGCTCGAGAACCGATGTTCAATTTTAGCTTAGATTCTATTCCAATCCACATATCCATGTTAAAATAAAGGTCATAATATAATGTTGACTTCCGGGTCAAGCATTTCCACTGAAAATCGACTTTGTTTTATCGCGATGCCAAAATTATAGCCCGGACACCAGTCTTAGTAATTTTACACAACAAAATCTATCATTATTTTGCCCACGAGAGAAATGTAGGATTCTTTTTAATAATATTGATACGATTGGACTCATATTGCCAATGCACTGTTATTGAGAAATCAATATTTTTGAGTGCTAGATGTAGGTCTAGATCTAAATTGTCAAAATATTTTTTTCTCCCCAAAATCACTATTTTTTAATGAAATTACACAAAAAGTGCCACTCAAGACATGTATAGGTTTATTCCAAATGCAATTCTGAATAATTCCATATAAGATACGAGTGGGTTTTTTCTGTTTGTGATCATTTTTCAAGATTACAAAAATACATTTTTTTTTCAATATCGGATGTTATGTTCAAAATGTACAAATATTATGGAATGTAGGTAAATAACTGCAAAATTTTCAATACTTTCCAGTTCTATATTGATTTATGGTTATTTTGATGTATCATTTGACTAGGTGCAAACATATTTTTTGAGTTTCACCAAAGATTAAAAATTTTTTATTTTCAAATTTTATCCGCATCCAATCAAAATTGTGTTGCATAATCGTCTCTTACAGGAAACAAAGTTGAAAAATACATAAATAAACATTACAGATGTATTCTACAAACTATACTGAAAATATTGGTACATAATATGTTGATATTTATTTGAATTTGTGGCCCCAAAGACTTTTTAACTGCCCACTAGTCCTCATCTCATTCGCTCTCCCGAAAAAAATTCGTCCACAAGCCAAAAATAATACATAGCGAATGAGTTAAAGTGAATTATTTCATAAATTTTGGGCTCAATAAATCAGTGTTTTCTAGCTAATAGAAAGATTTTCCAAGTGACCCCAAAATTACTTTATTAATGACTGTTTCAAAACTGTTTCAGTCTGATGTAGGAATTTCAGCTTCAGTAAGTCTTAGAGCTATACACCCATATAAACATGCTCACCACTTCTCCAATGTACTTGGTCAGATTGAGACCCAGCAGTTCCTTACACAAGCTGTCCTTTTGAGACTCGGTCAGGTTCCTCTGCAAGGAGACATGAGCTTTAATAGACAATATTCAATCAATCACCAACTTAAAGCACACAAAATAATAATGTCTGAACTAAAGAGGAAATGAAAAGTTAGCGACACAATGCTGAAGGGTAGAGCAATGGCATAAACCTTAGAGAAAACACATTCCACATGAGAAACAAAAAGCAGAATCTTATGGTAGCAATAGTCAAAGAACATGAAATAGTATGATTGTGCAAGCACTTTAGTATAGAGTGCTTTCTTCCCTTTTCCTCTCCTCTCTCTCTCTCTTTCTTTCTTCCTTTTCAAAAATGTATCAAAGCATCACAGATTTCTGCATGCACTTTTTTTTCATACTGCTCACCCAAGAGTGATTAAAGAAAAATACAAAGGATGCAAATTATGTTTAACCTACCCATTCTTGGGTTTTTTAAGGTAGTTATAGCCAGGGGGTGGTAGTGGAGATAAGCTCCCACTTCCAAAAAATGCTCCCAATTAGTATGCATCTAAATAGCCTCTGACAATGAAAGTCCAACTCCTGGCCTTCTCGTGGCGAAACTGTTACCACTGACAGGAGAAGGGGTAAAGGCGAGTCGCTGGCACCTCAAAACCAGCAGCTTCCGGTCGACGGAGCTCGGCAGCCTGGGATGGCAGTTCGTCTAGGGGAAGGAAAACCCTGATTTAAAACCTCGGCCATATCCATTAAGGAAAAGGGTATGGAAGTAAATCCAGAAAGAAAATCCAGAGTGGAGTCCCTACGGCGGTTGGGAGCTCAGTCGTGACTTCCTTCTGGCAACTCCTGAAGCCTTATCGGCTCCAAATGTAAAGCACAGCATTCCACTGGACCTCGCCAAAAAGTCGCCTGGGCAGCACTGGACTTCCAGAAACTTCTGCCCAGGTCTGCGCCCTGGAGAGGTCACTCCAGTCTCATGAGCACAACACGGATGATAGTGGTTTAACGGTTTAGCAGACGCCATTGTAACTCGCCTTCATTGATCTCACTAAGGCATTCGACCTGGTAAGCAGAAAAGGGTTATTCCATCTACTCAAAAAGATTGGGTGCCCCCCGTGCCTGCTTAACATTACAGCCTCCTTTTACAACAACATGAAGGGTGTTGACAGCTATAATAAAGAAAGCTCAAAAAACCCTTCGACATCAAAAGCATTGTCAAGCAAGGATGTGTCCTTGCCCCGACTTTATTTAGCATTTTCTTCTCCATGCTGTTGAACTTTGCCTTTGAGCAATCTACTGAAGGTGTACATCTACACACCAGGAGCGATGGAAGGCTATTCAACCTGGCCCGCCTAAAAGCCAAGTCAAAAGTCCAACCCGTAATAATCAGGGAGTTGCTGTCTGCAGATGATGCAGCCCAGACCTTGCACTCTGAGGATAAACTGCAACAGCTGATCAGCCAGTTTGCAAATGCCTGCAAAGAGTTTGGACTTACAATAAGTATTAAAAAAGACCAATGTCTCGGTCCAGGATGTACCCACACCACTCTCAATCAGTATTGATGGAGCAGTGCTCGAAAACACAGAGCACTTCGTTTATCTGGGTTCCACCGTCACAAGCAATATGTCCTGGACAAAAATATGGACAAATACAAAAGAACTACATTGAAAAGTCACATTTACAACAAACAATGCATACCACTTTCCTTATAAAGGCAGTATTTTTCTTTAGGCTGGAGTCTAGCTTGCTGAAGAAGGACTCATCTGGACGATTCTCTGTCAAAAAACATTGAAAAATTTTCTTTTGATTTCAGACTCTCATTTTTACTTTCATTTTCATCCAACCATCAACATGAAACATTTAAAAGAAAACAAATTATGACACTCATATTGATACTGAGCATCTGAAACAATTTTCAAAAAAAAAAATTATAGCATGTTTTTTTCCCCCCTATCAACACAGTTTAGATCATGTATGAGGCATGATTCCGACCCTGCCTGTCAGGGCAAACCCATGACTGAGAGGGATACAACATCTCAGCAGTAAGACCGAGATACTCAAAAAAATTTCTCCCTACTCAGGAATCGAGATCGGGTCTCCTGTGTGTGAAAGTGAAGTGCCTAACCACTACACCAAAGAACCAAAGCACACCTTGGGGGGGGGGGTGTAAGTGTTTTACGGCGCTCGCAACTGCATAAGGTCATTTGAGCATGCAGGACACAAATTAAACATTCTCAGTTTGGTAGGAAATTTTGAATTTTCCCCCGGGTGGCAGCCGAAGCCTACACATCAATTTTGGACCACCAAGAGATCTTTAACATGCGCAACTTGTACACGGGACGTCCAAGATTTTTTGCCCATATCCGAGAAGGCTAGATGTTTGATCTTACCTACCATATGACTAGGGGTGTGGCTGAAAGACAGCAGTAAGAAGGAACCAAGGAGAAGAAGTAGAAAGGTTGCAGAAAGAGTCAGGGCCAAGAGGAGAGGGGCAAAAAAGGAGGCAAGGGGGTGGAGCCAGAAAGCAAAGGTGAAACCAGACAACGCTACATTGTTAGAGAGCAGGAAAGGTGGGGAAAGGGGACAATTTTAGAGAAGAAAATTTTCTGTTGCTATCTGGGTTCGAACTAGGGGCCTATTGAATGAGAGGCGAGAGCCTGCTTAAAAAAAACACTTATATTTTAAAAAATAAACAATAAGAAGGAGCAGTCTGCCAAGCTACAATTGACAGTATGCTGTGACATCTATGAAGTAAGCTAATGCACTAAACAAAGTATTGTTAAAGAGTTTTTAAGCATAAAACCTGTGTTAACAATAAAACATGTTTATAACTTTTAACCATACCTGGAGCAGAGAGATTTACAGTTCTTGCTTCTTTTTTTGTCTTTATTCTGTCCTCTGCCTCTGCAATGAAATCTTTCAGAGATTTCTGAAGAAAAAAAAATACATTAGGAGGATTTCAGAACAATAATGAATTCTTTTCAAAACAATAGCAAGAGATTCTCCTACTCTGACTTTGAGGTACGGATAAAGTTGTATAAATGAATAATTTAATGTCTTCAAAATAAAAAAAACCAAATTATATCTTTGTATAATACAGTCTATAAGTAAACTGATCAATTCGACAGTCAAGCTTAAGTTAAGTAGTTAGGGCACAATGCATGTCTAAATTTAGTGTGTCAAGTTCAGACCGATTTTTTATACCACAGCTTAAGGCAAGCCAGGTGGGGACAAATGCACAGCCCACAGCCAACGAGGGTGAAGAGGATTAAGACAGGCTATATACAAGGGGATATCAATAAGTTTTTTACCTGAGTATGAAGGAGTGGAGCTACGAACTTGAAATTTGGTATGTAGACACTTATTTCTCTATGTAGTCACCAGCCACAAGAACACACTTTTTTGCCAGCAATGAATGACCATGAAAAGTCCTTCAGAAAAAAATTATCGATTTTGCCTTTCAAAAAAGTGTTTCACTTCGTTTATGGCGTCATCATCTGTTTCAAATCTTCTGCCTTTCATGCGTTACTTCAAATTTGAGAATTTAAAAAAGTCTGAAGGTGTTAAGTCGGGGGAATACGGTAAGTGTGGCAATATTTCATACCCGCATTCCTCAGCGGTGGATATCGCCTTACGTGAAGCGTGCGCCGGGGCATTGCCATGAAGCAAAAAGACACCTTTCCTCAGTTTGCCTTGTCGTTTTTCCTTTAGAGCTACCTTCAATCTCAGTAACAAGTCTGAATAGTAGTCCCCTGTGATCGTGCGATCCTTTAGTAGATAATCCATAAGAACTATCCCATCCTGATCCCAAAACACCGATAACAACACTTTGCCAGATGAATTCTGTAATTTGGCTTTTTTGGGGGTGGGGGAAGATGGTGTTTTCCATTGCATTAAAGCAGATTTTGACCCTGGGTCGAAGTGACAGACCCAGCTTTCATCAAACGGTCAAAAAAGTTGTCAGGATCTTCATCAAACGAGTCAATCATTTGCTGACTGCACTGTGCTCTCTGTTCTTTTTGATGAGGGGTTAGGAGACGGTGCACCCATCTTGCAGACACTTTCAACATATTCAATTGGTCATGAAGAATCGTCTCAACAAATCCATAGCTCAAGCCAGTTTCAGCACAAAGTTGTCCCGAGAGTAACGCACCTGTCATTCAGCACAATCTTCTTGACTTTTGAAACATTGTCTTCAGTCATGGCTTAGACAGGGCCACCTTCTCGAGGGGTCTCTTCAATGGACGTTTTACCACTTTTGAATCTCTCTCTCTCTCTCTTCTGGCGCTGTGGCGTCATAAACAGTCAGCGATGCTGACAGCACGCAGGTCTCAACACATGCCCGGGGGTCCTTAAAAAGTGCTGAAAGTGAGTTACTGAAATGTCCCAGCAGATGGGTTCTGGCACGATAGTTGGCGGGACATCTCAGGAACACATGGTCCATAGTTTCGTCCTCCTTGCAGGCTTGGCAGGATGGATCTGGGTTGTCTGCTGGCACAATTTTGTAGAGATATGATCTCAGCTTGGGCGATTTTCCACCTGTTCTCATTTGGGAAAGAAGCCGGCAGTCCCACATTCCAATTGCTAGCACCAATATTTGACCACATCATAGCTAGGGCAGATACATCCATACTACTGACGTTTCATTGTGTGCAGACCGTGGTTTCTTTCCCTTGGAGAAGAAAGAACTTCATAACAGCTCTTATAAAAAAATTTTCAATTTTGTGAACAAAAATGAAAAGTGCTAATCATGCTTTCAAGGGTAATGTTAAACTACCTGCTGTACAACCTGAACTAAGCATCGGGAATTCCCAAATATTGGTGTGCGTTCTTAGTTTAGATGTATCTTGACCCTGTTCAAATTTCAAATTCGTAGCTCCACTCCTTCGTACTCAGGCAAAAAAACTTATTGATACCCCCTCGCATTGTCCGCATATAGCACTTCTTTCTTGCATTCTAAAATACTTGGATAAAGAAACATACCTCTTCTTCTTGTTTCTCTTTCTCTGCTTTTTCTGCTGCATTTTTCTATCATAGGAAACAATAAAATACTTCGTTACAGTAGGAAAAAATGTATTTACACTAAACATGTGCAATGTCTTGTTTATGCAAATAACATAGTAAAAAATAATCTAATTGAAGGCCTACATATTCTCACAAATTAAGACCTCAAAAGTGTTCTCATGAAAAACAGAAAATATGTAATACAGATGACTATAGCCCAAATAGTAATGAAAACAAATGTAAAAAATTCACAGCATTTACCTACGACTCCGTAAACACTAAATAACAACACACATCAACATTTTACAAGTAAAGCTGTATAGCATAAAGCCTGGACTTACAGGGTGATCAAAAAAAAAACCTTACAACTTTTTTTCTGAATATCTCGCACATAATTTGTACTAGAATGTTGTAATTTGGAACAGATATAATTCATTCAAAAGGAATTTGTTTGACATAAAATTAACAAAGAATAAACTTATTTTGAAAAACGGAAATGGCTTTTATAAAAACCACCTACAAATGCAAAATGCACCAATTTAAAAGATCTTGTAAAAAAAAGCCATAAAACGATTGGTTTGTCATTTTCTTTCCTTTTATTTATAAAATCTAATCTTTCCATCCCTGTAACCTTTAAACAATATTTCTTTTCTCCTACAGAGTTAAAAAACATATTTCTTAAGTTCTGGAATTTCGAGAAGCAATGGTCTATATGTCCTCCTTTGGACTCGACACATTTTAACATGTCGTTCATTACGATTATGTTCAGTGGAGGCCAAACAAAGGATCCACTCAACCATGAGTACTCAAGCCACACACACTGTACACCTTACAGTAAGGAGCTGTTTCTAGGGACAATAGGGGAGGGGTGAGGTTGCCCAAATATACAGCATTTGTGGAGTTGATATAACTTGAAAGGTGAATATGGGCTTTGCAAAGGAACCAAATGTCAAGGAAGAAATGTTCACGCTTTTCAAGACAATCGAGGAATCATGAACACATTAATATCCTCTGATAGCTTTGTGAACGGGAAAATGAGACAGTCCTAGATGAAGATCTGCCTTGAGAATGCGGACCGTTGAGATGTAGGAAAATCATTGGTGCAGACATCGTCTACGGACAGACGTCTCATAGGGCGTGACGTTTAAAAGGCTGCGAACGGTGTGAGTTTGACCTGAAATGGCCGTTGTTTTTGGGAATTATTAGTTCGGATTCTCTACAGGTCCTAACTGATGGACCATTTTCACCCTAGACATCAAAGAAGGCCTTAAGGGCACTCTAACATTATTTCCCTGCCTTGTGCGAAACTTACGAAATGAGTTTGTGTTGAGGAAATGTTCAATACAAAAAGCTCTCTGCTCTTCATTAATCTTAACCATGATCTTAGCAGGCAAAGGAAACTTGAGAAAGACTATCTGCAAACTGCTGTGGGCCTGTTAGACTACAGTAGCTTGCAACATGGCACAATTGTTAGGATTTTTATTGGTTGGCCTAATGCGAACTAGTGCGTCAAGTTACAAAAATGGGGACATAGCTGAAAATGGGTTGGTTTTTTTTACGCGCTATGTAGAGCAAAATTATTCTGTGAATTTATCTAAAATGAATATCAAACAAATTCCTTTTGACTTCCAAATGTAGTGTCCAAATTTGAACCACAAAACTTCAGTGTGGAGGAAAATATTAACAAAAAAAGTTTTTTTGGGATCACCCTGTTTTTGTATTTCACACCAGAATCTTAAATTTAGTACTTTTCCTCGGAACAGTTGGGGCCATATGATTTCCTTCGTACAAACTGGTTCTTCTTTATAGGGGGTCCAAGCTAGAACCAAAGAGAGGCTAAATACAGGCTACTCATCCCACAGTGGACCTTGAGTTACAAACACAGTCCGTTTCCTAAAAGAATAGAGTTCCTTGATTTTCGACAGCCATAATTATGCACTTTTTTATAGGGGGGCTTTGAACCAATTTAATAAGCCATAGAAACAACATCCAACACCTGACTAAAATGACTATCTGGACTACCCCGAGCGCAATGCAGTTAATTCTCTAACAAAATATTAGAAGATGAGTATCTTCATTGACCACAAGGCCTTCAGAGTTATGAGTGGAGCAATTTCCAGTTTTGCCAAACCATCTAAATTGGTGAAGTGGGCACAGGGGATATTTGATGTTTTCATCTACTGCGGAGAGGACTAGATGCTTGATCCTACCTTTCTATGACACAAGAAACACGCAGATTTGAGACAATCTAATTTCTCAACAAACAAGCAGGAACAATGAATAAAAACAGGTACGGCAGGTATTAGAGAAAGAATATCTCGAAGCTCACCAATGCTATTTACAACAGACATTATCATACAATGTTCAGAGTTGGGGTAAGCCCGTAGCTTTCTTAGTGCCCTACCAGATTTGTTAATCATAAAAACAAAGAGTTAATTTAAAAAATAGCCTAATAAAAATTTAGAAACCTTTTCCTCCTCTTCTTTTCTCTTTTGCTCCTCTTCCTGTCTCTGTCGTTCTTCAGCCTCCTGAGCCTTCAAATCCTCTTCACTCTTTTTCTCATCAGTCTCCTTCGGCTCTTTCTTCATCTCAGAGTCCTTCTTTTCGTTCACAACCCGGGCGTCTGCTTGATGTGATCTTCCCTCTCTTACACTGCTGGATTTTCCAGTTCTGTATAAGTGATACCAAAAGACTTCCATAAAAATGCGAGCACAAAATTTCAAGACAAAAAATTCAATCAAAAATCAAGATCAAAGAGTGACTTAACGATATCTGATATGTAAATTCACAGAAACCTTTCAAAAGAATAAGAGGTCAGATAAAGAAAAGAATCGAAAAAAGTATAAAATGTTTCACACAATGTAAAGTTATCACGCTAGGAGCAGAACAATGAGCATTTGGAAATGCATTACAAAGAATGGAAGGGTTGGGGTTGGGGAAAACCAATTAATAATCATAAAAACTATAAATCTCAACCAATTCCAGCACATGATCTAAAAAGACAAAACAATACATACCTTCTGTCTTTGTTGCCTTCCCTTTCATCACCTTCCCCTGCCCTGTCTTTGCGGGTACTCCTGTCTTTTTTCTCTTGCATCTGGTCCCCCAAATCACCACGGCTGACTTTATCTCCTCCACCAGTGTGAGTCGAGGACCCTTTACCTCCTCGTCCAGACCCTCGTTTCTCCCCCCTCCATGACCTGGAACAAAGATGAAATGCATGGCATATGTCAGAATCTTTATTTCTATCAGCTACACCCACCTAATGCTCTTTTTCATTTTTCCCCTTACTCTCCCTGCAACTGTAACTATTCATTCAGAGCTAAAATTGCAGTTGAATATAAAATATCTATATGACAGAAATCATGGAGACCTGATCTTACAAACTCCATCTTATTAACAAACTCATCAAGATACACATTAGTATAAACATGAATTTAAGTAAAACAGTTCAAACGAAACTCACTGCTCTTTATTTTGTTCTCCAGAGTCTCCATCACCTCTGCTGGAACGTGCCACCTGATCCTTTCCACCTGGCTCTGTGCGTTTCTTGGACACTTCCATTTCCACCAGTCCTTCAAGCTTTTGGCAGTGTGAAATGACTATTTATCTTTATCATTCATAGAGACATAGAAGACCCATCATCATCAATATCTCGTCCACATACCACTTATTGAGAAATGTTCCTGAAATGGAAAGTAATAGGCTACTTTCAACCTGAGAGATTCAAAGAGTAGTCACAGCTCATCCATTAATAAAATGTACAACATTTAAACTCACGAAATGACCACCCAAAAAAAAAGAGTGAAAAATAGCGTGCCGCATTTTATCCTTTAGTTTACCCCTCACCCTAAATCAAATTTAAACCCTGTTTCAAGAAATTTGTATTTGAACCAGATAAATGCTTTTTTTCTAGTCTAACAAGAATGTTATAAATCTAATTTCAAAAACAGAACCTTGAGCTTGTTCTTTTCCATATAAGCCAAAGGTGCCAAAGGGATTCTCGGTAGCCCGAGGACCGAAGACTTTTGATTTATATTTATGCTCATTTTACAAGGGGTTCAGAGCTTTTCTTGCGACAGAGCAGTGAGGTTTAAGAGATTAAATTTAAAGAAGATGGGATTTGATCTCCCACAACATCAAAATGAGCTGAATTTGAAAGTATATGTACCTGGAAGACAGACAATACATAAACTGTCTTTATCTTATCATCAGTTCTCCCCTATGCAAGTGCAAGCGAAGGCCTTTCAGGTATCAAGCCCTCAAGCAAAGATCCAAGCAGAGGAAATTTGAAAGGATCAAACCTTATTGGAGAATGATAATACCACAATAATATTATTAAATAGATTTAGATTACATTTATATAGTGGTGTATTTCCACTAGGAAAGTGCTCAATGCATTTAACAAAGCACAAAGAACGTAGTTCTTTTTACTCCCTCTTTCTCTTCCCACTCATTCTGTCTACGTTTTACTACTAATAATACTACTACACAGATCAGAAGACTATGTGCCTAAGCGAAAATATTAAATTTTAACTGCTTTTTAAACATTGCCAGGGACCTCAAGCCTCTAATTCTAATATAAAGCCAAAGTGCAGCATTCCACACCAGAGGGCCATACGAATTTAAGGAACATTGTCCATAAAATTGTTGTAGTTCACTAACAAATGACTATTTGATTTATATAAATATGACTGGAAGACCTTCTAAGCCTTCTTGCTGGTACACATACTTTTGACTAGGATGAAGAGCATTTGAGAGATAAGCTGGTGCGATATTGTTTAAACATACAGTCAAACCTGATAAAACGGCCACCTGTACAAACAACCACTTTCCATTTTCCCCCTTGCGCTTGTATATATATACAGTCGAACCTGTGTAAGAGGACCACCCATTGTCAAGGAGAAAAGTAGTCGTATAAGACAGGTGGCCGTCTTAGACAGGACTGATCAAGATGAAGAAAACAAACCATTCTTTTCTGAAGTCCCAGCCGAAGGTAGGCGCATTGTTGTTGTTGTTGTTTTCGCTCGGTTTTATTTTATTTTAAAAAATTTTGTTGCTGCTTTTGTGCAAGGATGACAATAAAACGAAATCGAAATTATGTGTCAGACAAGGAGGGCCGAGTGCTATGGTAAAACAAACACATGGGTCTCCACCACTTGGAGAACGAGCAACGCTTCTGTCACAAGCTCATGTTGACGTTCATTGTTACTTTGTTACAGACTGGGTAAACAGTGACCACTCCTCTCACTTACGATTTGTGTATGAGTGGGTTATGAGGGATCACACGCTTACCTATAGGTCAACAGTGGGAGTGGCCTATGCAACATGATTGGTTGGAGGGACTACCTAACAATGACGACAGGGGAATGGCTCGCCCGCAACGCCAGGGGCCAATGCATGATTTATGACAAAACGTATTGGAGTCAGTAAGGTGGCCGTCTAAGACAGGTGTTATTGCTTGGTGTTATAGGGGTTGTGTGTTAAAATAAGGTGGTCGTGGCTGTGTTAGACAGGTGCCCGTTTTACACCGTTAAATTATATAGAAAAAACGCAAGGGGGGAAATGGAAAGTGACCGTTTGCACAGGTGGCCGTCATGGCAGGTTTGACTGTAATTTCATTACATGAAAATGGGCACCAGTCCAACGTGGCTTAGGCCACCATATTTTAACAACGATCAACGAAATTACAAGTCTGAGATGCCCAACACTTTGTCATAAATTATGTTTTGGCCCCTGACGCTGTGGAAGAGCCGTCATAATCCATTCACTTGTCGTTATTGTTAGTCTCTCCAATGTCCAATCATGCTGAGTAGGTCCCAACCACTCTTGTTTTCTCAAGTAAAGCACCCAGTAACAATACATTTTCAGCTGCTGGTGAGGGAAGAGTGTGGTCTGTCATAACCTAAAAGCCCTGCCAAAAACTCAAACACAAATCATGTGAGGCGACCGGTCACTGTGTACCCAGTCGTTCACAATGGACGTGAGCATGAACTTGGGACAGAAGCTTCGCTTGTTCTCCGAGTGGTGGCAACCTATTTGTTTATAAATTTTATCCTGTCTTCCTTGTCGGACACATTTTGTTTTGTTTTATTCTTGAACATTATCTTCCTCCTTTGAATTGATACACTTAGTAAAATTTAATATTCATTATAGCTGTCACAAAACTTTCATCTCTCTGCGTAAACAAAAATATTTCACACATTCAGATAAATCCAGCTATTGAGGACAGCATCAATGGAGAGACTTAACTCATGTCCTGAGCCCGCAACCAACTCCAGTTGGGAACTCAGAAGGGAATATTTAAAAAATCAAAAATAACCCCATTCCTCTTTTTAAAAAACAAAGAGACAAATAAAACAAAACAAAACCAGCAACAACAAAAACAAAAACCTTCATATCCCCCCAAAAAACAAACAAACAAACATTTTAATTAGCCTAGACTAACGGCAGTCCCACACCTCCAGTTGGGATCTCATCAAAAGTGAATGGTGTGTTTTCTTTATTTTCATCAGTCCTGCCTAAGACGGCTGTAGACAGACGGCCTGTTTTCTCCTCCACGATTAGTGGCCATCTTACACAGGTTCGACTGTATTTATAACAAAAGACACAAACTTTGTACACAATAGTGACAACACTGAAAACTTTACACTGGCTGTCAATAATACGCGTGCCGATATATGAAGAGATAGCCTATCAAACCTAATTGCAAACATTAAATTATGGTCAAATTCAGGGGGACATACCCCCCTGAAACCCCTCCCTGTTTTTGTTAGCTCTGAAACCCCCCTTGCCCTGTTAAAAACAATAGAAATTTTACAGCTCATTTTGTAGCCTAGGCTAGATATACTGATAAAACATTGGTATTGAATATTTAAATCAGACCAGTATCGATATCCGGTTCTCTGAGGATGTGATGCCAAGTCTAAACAGACGGGACCCTTAAGTTGTACCGATATCATTATGTCGTCATGTAGAGCTCCATCATTGCATTGAATTGTTGTTGTAGTCTAGGCCTACTACTAGAATCTAGATCTACTAGATCTAAGAAGTACCTCAGCCTGTACCAAAGACCGTGTATACCAAGATGTTTCAATTGCCCTATCTCACGTCCGCGCGAGACTTGGGCGAAAGCTGTAGCTGGTGCGTGACAGCCCATGATACAAGCGCAAACAAACGTTCCGGCGCTCTTGAGTTGAACGGCTGCAATTTAGTCTGCGGGCAGGGAGAGAGAGAGAGAGAGAGAGAGAGAGAGAGAGAGAAAGAGAGAGAGAGAGAAGGAGGTAGGGAGAAAGAGGTAGAACGCGATTGAGAGAGAGAGGAGAGAGAGAGAGAGAGAGAGAGAGAGAGAGAGAGAGAGAGGGTGGGGGGAGAGATGTTTGTTATTACAATAAGAATTATAGTTTCCTGTCATTTTCTATCTGCGTCAGTTTTCAGGCTGACTCGGTGCTATGCTATACAGTCATTATAATCATTATTATCAAAACATAAATATAACTATAGTCCCATCTTCCAAATCCCATTTTCTGTTTCCCATCTCTCACCTCTTATTTCTATCCCATATCCCAACTTCAATTCTGTAAGCGCTTCGTTTTCTTTCATCTCATGGACTGGAACGCCCGAAGCAGGCCAAAATATTGAATAATTTTTATACATGCATCATTGTCGCCAATGTCCAAATCAGCGCCAATTAGTTAAGGCTAAGGCCACCTCTATTCTCACCCGGAATGAGAATAGTGCAGGCGAGTCTTGTGGCTATTCTCACCCGGTGCGCGTTCACCCTAAACCACAGAATTCTACACTGTGATAACAGAAAAATTGTAGAATTCTGTGCCGTGAACAAACGTTCCATTACAACTGTAGCCAACTAAAAGCGTACAATTTTGTCTGTGGGCAGTGGAGAGAGAGAGAGAGAAAGAGAGAGAGGAGTAGCGCGAGAATTTCCGGGCAAAACAAAATGGCGACCCGCGTAGTTCGGCTCGATTCGAAAAGTTAAATAGCCGTAGCATCTTTGTAGACAACCAAATTAATTTACTTTTGTGTTTTAACATCATTTTTTAACTTTGTTCTGGTCAATTTGATCGTCCACACCGATAGACAGTATTCAGAAAGTCTGAGAAAGAGACAGAGAGAGAGAGAAGAGGGGAGGAGTTGATCTTGCGAGAACTTCCGGGCGGGTGAGAATAGCCACTTTCATTAGTTAATAGGTGCTCGCTGTAGCTTCATATGAATGTGTGTATTGTACTGTAGATCTACTAGATCTAGATATCTAGATCTAGATCTAGATCTAGATCTAACACTAACATTAGATTCTTAGTCTTAGTTAACTTGTTGGTTGTTTAATGGTGTGAATTGTTTGGAATTTCTCCTGATCCTGTCTAGTGTCTATCGAAATCTAATCAATATGAAATCCTGGTCCTTTTACACATTTAAAACACACTCGCAGCTAGATCTAGGCCTATTGATATTTGCTCTAAATAAAGAAGGGAAAGTAGTAGCCGCAATACTCACACCTTCTGTACTGTGCTCGTCATAAAACTAAGATACTTTCTTGTTGCAACGGAAGGATACAACAGACTGAAAAGGCAAGAGTGTTTTCCCCTTGTTTACAAAATGCTTATTCCCACGATGTGAAAGCAGCATAATTTTGTTTATTTTTACTTTCATGTATGCCAAGTTGGCACCTTTTTATATATAGAATATCTTCTCATTCAGTCTAGTATTTGTTTTCAGTAATTTTAAGATGTCACAGCTGTAAATTCAATCAACTTTTATGTAATCAAAAAGATTGTGATTGAAACTCCAATTTGGGTTGCTATTTTTTTTAATTTCACACTAGATCTAGTAATTATTAACAACCAATGCAAACTGTATCCGGCTAGTACAAAAAAACGCGATGACTGCTGTAGACTGCAAGATGCAAAGCAAAGTTTGAGTTGTGTATTATTATTGTGGTGCTTGTGCAGGGAGCCCTCGACTACCGCCACGATTTGTAAACATTTCACCATTGTGAATCAAAAACCGAGTCCTTTTATTTGAAAGATGCCTCCCCCGCCTGCACCTAAAAAGCCGCTGTTCCCTGTCACTCCGGATCCAGTTACTGATGTAAGACTGTGTGAATTCTTTAAGTTATTAGCCTATACTTAGGCTTAGGCTATACTTATAATAAACCTGTGCCTAGTCAGTCAAGTCTGGCAAGTCAACATCTAAATTAGAGACTAAAATCTAATCTAGATCTAGATTCTAGATCTAGATTAGATCTAGAGATATCTAGATCGAGATCTAGATTTAGATCTGCTAAGATTAACTCTTGTCCTGCATCTGTGCTGAGATGTGAATCTTCTGTCTTCTCAGCAACCGAATACGTCGGTTTCATAGCTTTCTATTCATAAAGTTTTACAAACGGCTTCCTTTACAAACACATTACCTGAACATGAATAGCCCCCTCTCATGTCATTTAAAGCCTAGGTAGTAAGCTATACCAACTTGGCGTGTTTTGAATGAGACGTATGCCTCGGTTACAAACCAATACTGGCAGTTCTAGAAGAAGGCAACAAACGCTCACAAACTCAAGCATTCACGCAGTTCAAGTGAAAGTGCATGTGCGTCAGTCTGCTTGAGTTTGTGTGCGTTTGTGGCTTTCTTCTAGAACCGCCTTCGTTGGTTCGTAACCGAGGCATGCGTCTCATTCAAAACACGCCAAGTTGGTAGCTCTAGATGTTCGTCCAATGAAATTATAGATCAAATTGACCCACTTAGACATGAGGAGCTCGAAGGGATAGTCAGAAACAAGACCTTCAATTTTCATATAGATCTATATTAAGCCAGATCGACTCTGGGATCGATCTTGTTCACAGACTCTAAGCTTCGAGTCCCCCCAGTGTTGATGCCTCCCGTCTCCTTTTTTTTTAGCCTGGTTCCTAGTCTAGACTCCGAGAATCAAGGCAAGAATCTAAATCTCTACCGCACTATTACAGTCCTGTCGTGGGATAGGCCTTGGGCTATTCCACCCCACAGTCGAGTTTTTCGCTTCAAAACAGACACCGCACCAGGACAGGACTGATCCGCCGCATAAGGCGGCTTCTTTTATGTTGGCCTAGGCAGAGTTAAAAATGCATTCAAAAAATTTCTTAAATATTGGCCAAATTTAATAATAAGATTTTCGTGATCAGCGATCCAAAATTAGCTAAAATTACGTGTGGAACCCAATTTAATGCCCGATTACCAAGTTAAATTAATTTTTGTGAGTTTTGTTTACTTATATGTGTCTTATGTTGTTTTTTTCACTATTTGAATTTGGCGTGCACTAGGCCTTGATTCATGGAGATTCAAGACTGTGTCTTCAAGGTGGATGAATCGAGGTAGATGTGCCTGTGCTCTGTTGCTTTGTATTAGAAAAAAGAGAAAGAGAAAACAGTATTAGGTCATACTGTCCCACCGATGTTGAAGCAACTCACTACTGCTCGGGATTCAATGCAACAAAAATGTCACGTCCCAATAATAGGTGGGTACATTACACTCAAGTTCAAAGGTTTCAAACGTCAGACGGGTCTGTCCCGGGACGAACTTTCGTAAGCCTAGTGAGGTTGGGGCAAGAAACTGCCAGTCAGTCACTATCAATTGTCTCACGCAACCCCCCACCCCACCCCACCTTCCTCTTCCTCTTCCCCGGGGGTGAGTGAATGCTAAACTAGGCCTAGGCCTACTTGTCATGTCTACCGTGTAGCCCAGTACGAAACCACGCTGCACAGGCTACCGCTACTTTGAATGTTGTTGCCCCACCCCCGCCCATCCCTAATTAAATCTTTCCCTTCCCTTTTCTCTTTCTTTTGTCTTGAACATTGAACGCTTGCTTTTGAATTTCACTGCACTTTCATCTTCACTGTACACGTATTCTTTTGTAAATCATATTGTGTGTTTTGAGTGGACATCAATGAGTCAGTCATCATGTCTGGACGTCGATCTTTAGCTTGGGACTTATTTTAATAAGCAGGAAAACACAGTACTGTTGTTTGTATGATTTGTAATAACGTTTTGGCATACAATAACACAACGTCGACAATAACAAAACATTTGTCATCAAAGCATGCTTTGACATATCAGGAAGCAAAGGGTGCAAGAGAGAAGGAGCCTGTGCCCCACGCATTGGCAAGAGTGATAGAAGGGAGACAACACACACACACACACATAAACACACACACACACACCCACACCCAAACACACACACACACACAAACACACACGACACACACACACAAACACACACGACACACACACACACACACACAAATGCGTGAAAGCCAACTTGTCTTGGCACACGCGCAGGCTTAGCCAGCCACGTCTGTCAAACTCGAGACTCGAGGTCTCGATCTTAAGAGTTATTTTTGGCAGTGTTCAAGACTTGAGGTCTTGATCTTAAGAGCTATTTTTAGCAGTGTTCAAGTCATGGCCTCTAAACAGCCCACTTGAAGCAACTTCCAAATCTCGGAAATCGGACTCGATTGCTCGATTCTTTTTCAGTTTTGGAATCAAGACCTTGAGTCTTCCTGCATTGGTTCGTTACCGAGGCATGCGTCTCATTCAAAACACGCCAAGTTGGTAGCTCTAGATGTTCGTCCACAATGAAAATATAGAGCAAATTGACCCACTTAGACACGAGGAGCTCGAAAGGATAGTCAGGAAACAAGACTTCCATTTTTCTATACAAAATCTTCCAAATGAGCTTGATTTTGTATTAAATGATACTACCTGATAAAAAATAAGCTTGTTTGATAATTTTGAATATCATTGTGCAGGTACAAAGAACAATTTGAGTGCAAAACATTCAGAAATTGACCTTAGAATAACTTAGATAATATAATCCCCTTTCGAACCCCAGGCCATTCATAACGACAAGAGCGTTTAGAAAGGTTATTGGAATGGGCGTAACTACTCGTAATGTCTTATCTGCTTATGAGAGGGGGTTATTCATGTGTTTGTAACACTTTATAAAAATAGAAAGCTATGAAAGATAGCGCGTTATTTTCATCATCGCTTAACACACTCCCACAGTACTCATGGGGAAAACACACATTTCCAGGCGCACGCACTGTACACCAACAGTACACACTGAGTGACCCTGGCAGCCTGCCCGGCACGTCCGACATAATCGGTTGCTGATAAGATTCACATCTCAGCACAGACGCAGGACAAGAGTTAAGATCTAGATCTAGATTTTACATCTAGATCCTTGTTCTAATAATTAAAAATTAATATCTAGATCTATTCTGGAGATCTAGATCTAGATGCTATGTAGATCTAGTGGTGATCTTGTAGGTCTAGTCCTACGCCATTACCATGCCATGCAGAAGATGTTGAATTAGGAGATGGAAGTTTTAAAAAATAAAATAAAGTTTTAGTTTCCCCTCATGTTTGGATCTATTTTTCCTTTTGGTTCAGGTTGGCATTGACAGGAATGTGAAAGCTACCTGCCCACTAGAATACTTAGAAGAAATCATCTATGATCTAAATTGTTTGTGTTTATGGGGTGTGAAATAAACACTCCAAAAAAAGTTCATTTACAATTTTAAAGATTTAAGTTTGAGCTGAGATTACCCACTAAGAAAGTTTTAGAACACTTGGTCTTATAAAGGTAGATTTTTACTTTCACTCCCGTACACAGATGCCCTACTTTTGACTTTTGGGGACAACACTGCTCAATGTATTTTTGGCTGCAGTACCCACCTATAGCCACTAAAATTATTTCAAATCAATTGTTTTGCTTGTGTATTAATAAGACTAGAACTGCATTGGTCTAATTTTTTAACATACTCAGATTACCAAGAGAAAAGATCAAGATTTTGGTCGTGTTTTGTTGTTTATAGGCAGTGCCCATTGGAGGATTGGTTCAGTTCAGTTTGTGGCAGCTTCAGTGCACCCTACAAATAGACCCCTGCCTTAATATTGTATCAAATGGTGCTGAAGTTAACAAAACTTACCATTCGCAGCAAAACCATGCCCTTCTCTAATGCCTTCCCAAGGCTGCTTGCCACATATCATATCATATAGTTACTGTTTTGCGATGTTCTCAAATCCCATAAACAAGGGAATGATCTATAGATCTTGATGATCTTTTTGAGATCTACAAAGTCCATTTTGTTTTGTTATGGCATTTCACGGGAAAAGGCCTGACCCTGACATTGCAATGTCATGATGATCACATGACTTGTAAGCCACAAGCTTTATCGTGACTGACTGAACACAAACCAATTGCCCGACTGGCGACCTTGAAAACAAACACGCTCGTTTTTTTAAGGTTATCATCAGTTTCATTCAGGTTATGCTATGATGGTAACGTTTGCCTCTCCATAGACGGAAATCTGGCTAGCCCCGATGACCGATGGGTACCGTTTATTAAAGATTCATCTTCTTTGAATGTCAACATCTTCTGGGGATTTTTTACATTTTATAAATTATAATCTATTTGATTCAATCATCTATGCTAGTTTTCAGAACAATGAGCTATGGGGTGGGTGAAGAAGGTCATAGGATAGAAATAATGCTAACGGTTTTGTTGTTTGATCTACAGTAATGATATACCATGGACATGAGAAAGAAAAGTCAAAAATAGCTAAACTTTCCTTTGTTTCATTTCTTTTCTTCATTTTTTTACTTTTCATTTTCAAAAATGTGAATTATTATTTGTTTGGAATTCCAGCATCCTATCCAGCCACCAACAATTATTGTAATCCAACCGGGCTCTGTAAATCTCAGAGTTGGCCGAGCATCAGATGCCTTTCCCATCACTGTGCCACACTGCATTGCTAGGAAATGTCCAAATGTAGAGAATTCACTTCCAGATGACCACATGCTCCTCCGACCTGAATGTAGTGTAAGTATTTGAAATGTTTATTATTTTGCTTTTATAATGATCGGTGAAATTTGAACCAGAAGTCAATATTGATTAGGCCTACTTTGTTTTGATTCACTTCACTCAATTGTTGCTCGTATGGGACAAGCCTTCACTAAGAAAAAAAAAGCCTGACTGTGGCATATATCATGTAAGAAATATGTGTTGTCATTTGATAACTCTTCTCACTTACACTGCTACACTTGCTGCAACTGGTTTGAGGGGCAAGCATGCTTTAACTCACTGACTACCAACATTTTTGGGGGCGCCCGGCCCCTGAAACCACCATTTCGGGGGTATTTTTAGAAAATCACTGAGATCAATCTATTAAAGATAGAAGCTTCAAATTTTCACTGTTAAAAAAACCAACAAAATAAACTGTAAGTAAAACAGAACAGATTTGTGTTATCTTATTTCATTGGGTTTTTTTTTTATATTGGCTCGAGCAGACTGTTGACGTTTTGGTCGATAGGACGCCATTTTGCGGACTGAAGAGTGACTTTAGGAAACAATTCACTAAAAAAATGCCTCTTGAGCTAGAGAGCAGGAAACGATCTCAAATTAAAGGGAAATGACTCATGTTTTAATATCGCGAGCCGTTCGAACCACAGTGGCTATCCTTCAGCGGAAAAAAATTCCAAATATATTCGTGCCAAAGTGGCATGAACAGGAGCTAGGCGTCAATAGAAAATTCGTGCCACACTGGCAGGAACGGTAGCCAGTGAGTTAATTTTGTAAAGATTTACAAAATATGGAGTAGACCTAAAACTTTTTATGCCAAAGAGGAGAAAAGAGACATCCCTTGGTTTTCAAAAGGTCACCCAGTTCAGTTACTGATCAGCTCATAGTACTTTGAAAGAAGAATTTAGAAAATTTAAATGAGGACCTTGAGCTTGGTGAAGATAAAAATTGTTTGGACTCTGTTAGTACTCAAGGGATTCCACAATTGTATGCACCCTTTTGAAGCGGCGAAGAATGTTACTTTAAAAACGATTATATCAGTCAGATATATTGATTGGTTTGTTTGTATGAGCACTCAAACTACTTGTAATTGAACAGAGGGTCATAATGTCATATCGGTGAATAAGTAGTACATGTAGCACAGGGCCAGATGTAGATCTTGGGATTGACAAAAGTGGTACCTCAAAATGTCAGTAAAAGTGGCAATCCGCTGAAGCACTGAACCAAAATCCCAACTTAAGTGACAACTTGGAATCAAAGAGTTAATCTAGAATTTTGGCTGAAAAGAAAAATAGAATGAGGGACTGAAGAAGGGTGTAGATCTAGACAGAAAATAAGTTCTTAAAGGTGCTTTCATTACTACCTTTCAACATTTGATTGTCCCTAAAGTTTCTTCTGTTGTTGATAGGCACTGTTTTTTAGTTGTTTTGACAGATTTGCTCTCTTTCAGCTTTATAAAGGGGGCTCTCATGGCTGGGAGGTTAAGGTGTTCGCCTCTCATTCAAGGTCAGGGGTTCGAATCCGGGTAGCAACGGAAAAGTTTTCTTCTCTAAAATTGTCTCCTTTCGTGCTCTCCAACAATGTTCTGTCGTCTTCTTTCATTTCCACTTTCTGCCCCCACCCCCTCACCTCCTTTGCCTCCCCCTCTGAGTTCCTGACTTTTTCTGCTGCCTTTTTACTGCTACTCCTTGGCTCCTTCTTACTGCTGTCTTTCAGCCACACCCCTGATCTTCTGGTAGGAAAGATCTACACCTTGCCTTCTCAGACAAGGGCGAAAAATCTCAGAGGTATTGTGTGCAAGTTGCGACGTTCAAGTTCCCTTGGTGGTCTAAGATCAATTAGAGTAGAGTAGCTTTGGCCGCCGCCTGGGTAAAATTCAAAATCTCCTACCAACTAAAAATGTTTATTGTGTCCCGCGCGCTCATATGACATGACCATATGCAATGGTGAGTGCCGTAAAACACTACCCCCCCCCCCCAACTTTGTAAAGCTATTATTTTTTTTACGTTTAATGTGTTTTGTTGTTTGTTAAAAATTATTTGAATGCTTTTATTTGAATCTCTTGACCAAAATAAGTTGAATCATTTACCCCTGCACCTCGCCAGCACCCAGAGGCAGGCCAACAGATTCGAGCTGGACTTGCATCGATAGAAGAACTTCTCCAGTCTCGACCTACTCTTGCTGGTAGCCACAGACAGCTTACACTCCCAAGACAGGTATTACAACTTCAATGCAGAATTTGTTCTCTCTCACATATTTAAAAAACATTTCAATATTGTTAAAATAGTTCTGTGCTGGTGAATTTCTATACACTATCACAATTGTCAGTGTGATTATCTGAAAATTTGTCACAAATGTTTTCAAGTTGGACACTTTACAAAGTTTGCTGAATAGATTCCTTTGAAAAGAAATTCACAAAGAACATCTTTAGAGGTTTTTTTATTTTTATGTCAGCTTAACGTTGAAAACATCTGACCCCCATGTGAACTATGTCATGGGAAAGTACGGTTATTTGATTTTGATGACTTTGACAGTGGATTCAATCTGCCGTTTGCTAAACCTAAAATTATGAGTTGCCTTTCTTTCTGTGGTGGACAGTGTTTTGACAATATTTTCAAACTGTTTGAAATTTAGTTTGATTCTTTGTAAGACATGTATAAGTAAAAAAATAGCAATGAAGTATTAGCCGTTTTATTACCTAATTAAGTGTAATAATAGATAGCATTTGTATAGCGCAAATCCCCGCTCAACAGCAGGCTCTATGCGCTTTACACTATATTATGTGTAAAAGGCTGTACTTTTATAAATTGCAAAATTATATGACTTTGTTCACAGTTAATGGCATTCAATAGTCAAGTGCCAAGTGAAAAGACAGAATCTCAGGATTGCCCAAATTGGACAGATGTTGACAAGAAACCACCCTACGTTGTTGGAGAAGAGGCGAGAGAAAGAGTTTTTTTAATCAGCTTTCTGCAGTTTGGGTTTTAAAATATGTTTTGCTACATGGATTCTGTTTTATTTTGCCTCCGCTTTGCTGGAACAACACTAGTATCTTTTTGTACAATGGTTTGTTTAACTGCAACAAAAATTCTTGTTGTTACTACTGTCAGCAGTAGGAAAGATTTAATGCAACACCTTTCACAGCCATTGATTTGAAGAGACTAGGGTAGGAAAAGACAATAAAATTATGTTGGCAAATAGGTATTATAAAAGTCTTGCATACAGGGCGTCCAGCAAAGTCGTAAAGTCGTAAAAAAGTCGTAAATTCGATGCCCTGGTCGTAAATGGTAGTAAATTTGCCTTGAAAGTAGTAAAAATTTGTTAAACGGTCGTAAATTAGCCTGCATACTGAGTGATGAAGCCAGCAAGACTTTTCAGTGAACCCTAGCCTCCGTTTTTGCAGGTCGCGATTGTGATATAATTATTCGTTTACCTTTTCCCCGTCCGAGAGTACGTTTCACGTGAAAAGCCGGCTATGGCGGCAGGTGGAAGTGTATGTGACACCGAGGCTTGATCGGGAAAATCGAGATCTACTTTCGCTTTCGTTACCACCCTGAAATTTGGCGAAGATAAACTGATAACGCAACATTTGTAATATGCAGGTTGTACAGTATAAACGCTGTGTCGCCGTGCAAACAAAATTTATTAATTACACGGACTCTGTCACTTGTGGGGGTTGGGGGGGGCGGGGGGGGTGAAAAGAAAATACAAGCTTTGTCCGATTTTTAGATTGTCGGGTTCACCAGCATGACAGGTCAGTGAACCTTCGCGCGAGGCACTACAAGGTACAGCATCGGTGAGCACCAGCGTTTGTTGGGGTCGCCAAAGTTCATTAAAAAGTCGAGCGTTGCGAAGTATAGGACTACGGAGTAGGGCAGGGATTATTGATTTTTTTAAAGAGACATTCGGGGGAGGGGGGGAGCGGATGAAGGCAACACCAGAGGACAAAAACTGTATGCAAATTTCAGAATTTTGATTAGATTTAGAGCCCTTTGCAAAGCGCGCGTTGGTGCAGGCCTTGTGTGGAATCGGGATCCTTCATACCTTGTAAGCCGTGTTATTGAAATAAAGTGTTCGCGTTTCATTTGTTGGGTGATAGTAAATTAGAACAATATTGTAGCTTTCTGTTCAAGACTGGCAGATTTTCAGTGCCACTGCCTCTTGCCCTCTCACAGTTCTTACACCTCTCACACTGAATATGTTTATTCGAGTCATTACGTGTGTGTGTGGGTGTGTGTGTGTGTGTGCGCGCGCGTTGTTGTTGTGTAACATGGCCCTGGAAAATGGAGAAGCCGGTTTGGCAGTCACCCTGTGTGTACACATTAGGTACAAATCTCCCCCCCCCCCCCCAACCAGGGCAGTGCTATTGACTGAAATGTCTTTAGGCCATTCCCAAAGGGAGGATATTAACATGTTCTTATGCACAGTAGAATTGTAAATGGGCTGATTTATCAATGTCATGCTCATACTGTGCTGGACCCGCGTAGGGGAAACTGCTGCCTTTTCTGTCCTCTTCTTTACTATCGTCATTTTCCTCTACTTCTTTTGTATGTTTGTCACACTTGTGAACTTCTATTTCCGGGGTGCCTTGATAGTCGAAGCTTGGACTTCTCTGTTGACATCCACCCCTTGTCGCTCATATCACCTATGCAGTTGCGAGCGCCGTAAAAACCTTACTAAAACTAAATCAAATCTAGCTGCAAGCAAGCTTGCGATCGTCTGTCTATCCTCCATTTTGTCGACTGGACTTTGTTGTGTGTTCTTTTCGTTCCATATGTTATGTAATAATAATATATATGTTATTGATGGCGCAAATTAACTCCCTTTTTCGAGCTGGTGTGGGGCTTGATTTGCTGGGTAGTAAATTTTTTTCCAGGTAGTAAATTTTTTCGGGAAATATTGCTGGACACCCTGTGCATACAAATTAACTGATTTGTCAGGGTTTAATATAAGTATTCTTTGACTTTGAGCCTTTTTCTCCTCCTGTTTAATAAACTGAGATATATGGTGGGATTTTTTTTTTTCAGATAGTGATAATATCAAAAAAAGAAGAGAAAAAAGACCTTTATGTCTATTCAAGTGTTCAAAAATGCAGTTTTTGGGACACCTGAATAGACATAAAAGTTTTGAAAATCTCGCTCTTACTGGCAAAATTGAAGGCAAATGAGGCAGGGGTAGGCTCAAAGCTACCAACTTGGAGAACCTAAACAGATGGGTAATGGGAAAAGAACAGGGTAATATAACTTTTTTAAGAGCATCCAAGCTAAGGAATGAATGGAGAACAATGATCACCGATGTCTGCCAGAGATCTGGCACTTGATGATGATGATGTTAATAACACCTAAATTGAAGTATCAGTTTATGCTGAAATCTTTAATTAATTAAGTAAAATTAAAAGACAAATCAACAGTATCTTTCTAATGTTAGATTCATGTTATATTTCTGATTTCCAGGCTATGTACATTCGACCATCAGAGCATTATCGTCTGAGCTGGCCCATGCGTAGAGGACAGCTAAATGTTCACCAAGGTCCTGGGGGTACCCTGTCATCTGTCCTGGCTGATATTGAGGCCATCTGGGGCTGTGTACTACAGGACCACATGGAAATACCTTTGAAAGACCTCAAAGTGAGTACAACACAGTGGTAGTTCAAACTTTTTCTGTCATGACCCAGACTAGTTCTGGGCTTTAAGCAAAAAAAGCGTTAATTAAAGATTGTGACCCATGACGTCTTGCGTGTAGTGGAATTTTCCTTAGCATGTATTTACATATATATAGTTAGCTGTCAAGGAGTAAAAAAAATTATTTGGATTAATTGTGAACCCACTTTCATGTTAAAGTACTTTCCCGTACTGTGTAAAAGCAATGAAATCTGAGCTCTTTTCTTACCAAATTGAATATAAAAGGCTCATACTGTTTAGACTCATACTTTAGAGAACCCGTCTCTGCAATGTAGTGGTCAATTTCTGGACATTGAGATGTGTATGGCTCATATCTTTGTCAACTGAGACAAAACCTCTTTCTATTTTATCATTACATATCTGACCATGGAAATGATATTTTTCTTTCGAATGCTCTTCGCAGTTTTAGTGCTCACAATTCATGATTTTTATTTTAGAGTTATAATGAGTGCTAAAAATAAAGGTATATGAAGTATGTATTCCCCTCTACTTTTGAACTTTTTTTTCATAACACATCCTTTCATCTAAACTGGTTTGTTTCCTTTTTCAGACGAGACAAAATTTGCTCTGTTAAGGTTAATAGAAAAGTTTTAAAGTGAGTTTGAAGTCTGTCATGTACTCACAGTTTTATTGTTTCAGCACTACAGGGCTGTCCTCCTAATCCCAGATGTTTATGTACACAAACACATCAAGGCATTGGTGAACTTGCTACTGAACACTTTTGGCTTTGGTGCTGCAATTGTACATCAGGTGAAGATTAGGACGAATAAATTCAGTCTCAGGTAGATACGGTAAAATGTGTTTGCATTTGGTTGATTGTGTGTGTGTGGGTGGGTGGATGTGTGTGAGTATGTTTGTGTGTGCGATTAAACAATTGTTTTGTTGTTGCATGGGTCTCAATATTCCGCTATTTAGCGGATTTCCGCTACCGCCATTTCCTCCACTAAACTCCGCTACCGCGACAGCGGGCCAATCAGAAAGAGAGTTGTTGGGAGCAGGGTGACTGCCAGGCCCCGGGAATTTTTAAAAAATCACAGAGACCCGGGAAAATACATAAAAGATCTCGATTATTTGGAAACCAAATCCAATAACGTCTTTAAGTTCATTTCTGCCGGTCGCGATTGTGATATTAATTCGTCTCTGAGAGTACGCTTCACGCGAACTGGCGGCTTTGGCGGCAAGCGGAATTGTGTCACCATGGCTCGACTGACTGGAAAATCAAGATCTACTTTCGCTTTCGTTACCCCCCAGAAATTTGTCAGTAATTGTATGATAACCCAACAATTATTGTAACATGCAGGTTCGGCATTACAAACGTGGTGTCGCCATGAAATCAATCAATATTTGTCACTGTGCCGTCACTTGTAGGGGCAACAACAACAACAAAAAAAAGAGGAGAAAGTTCCAGATTCTTGTCAGGCTCGTCATTGTGACCGGTCAATGAACCTGCGCGCATACGGAGCGCTGCGGTAGTACAGGACTCACCATTGTGACCGGTCAATATATCTGAGTGCTGCGAAGTACAAGACTCCGAAATGGGGGGAGATTATTGATTTTTTTTAAAAGACGCACTGGGGGATAGGGGGAGGGCTGGACGCAACACCAGAGGACAAAAAAACAAACTGGAAGCAAATGCTTAATGTTTAGAATTTTGATTACTACTGTAGTACTACTACAGCTCTCTGCAACGTAAAGTGTGCGTTGGTGGTGCAGGCCTTGTGTGAAATCGGGAACCGTCATAACTTGTAAGCGTGTTATGGAACTTCGGGCCTAAGGGTTCGCGTTTCATTAGACTGGTGACAGTAAATTACTTCTCTATATTTTAGCTTTCTGTTCAAGATTCGCAGATTTTCAGTATCACTGCATCTTGCCCCCCTCCAGTTCTTACACCTCTCACACTGAATAGGTCTACTTGGGCTGTTCTACTCTACTTTGAGTTTGAGCATTAATGTTTGTCTTTCATGTTCATTATATAGGCCTATATATATGATATGAGTCATGACAGTCAATATTCTAGTTCTGGGCACAAAACAAGATTCATTTTTATATAGTTTATATATGATGAAGGGAAAATATTAATAAGTCGCACAAGACCCCAGGCGCCACCACTTTCTGTACGTAATCAAGATTGTAAATATTTGGTACGTGACTCTTATTTGAAATTAGCTCCCAAACCCTCAAATTGGTGTGAAATAACCTTGCTTTGATAAATTGATGGTTTTTATTTCAGCATTTTAGGGTTCAACAGTATAATAATAATGGGTGTTTCGCGAAAATGGGCTTCTGTGGCGATCACCCGGAAAGTTCCTCCTTTTTTAGAATTCTGAGTTGAGACCCATGTGTTGGTGGGAGATAACAAGTTGGTAAAGCCCTTAATGCTTTTGTTTGTTTACTTTTATCAAATCAGAAATACTTTTAAGTGTGTACTTTTGGTTTTATTCTTTTTTTATTGTTTGTTGTTATCAAGGAAATAGTTCTTACTTTTTCTTTTGTGTCTTTTTATTTTATTTAAAAAAAAATTATTTTGTACATTGTCTAATCATCAGTGTTGAAGGTTTTGTCTGTTTCCAGGAGTCTGTATGTGCAACCTATGGCTCTGGTATCACAGTTGCTTGTGTTGTGGATGTGGGTGACCAGAAGACAAGTATCAGCTGTGTAGAGGATGGCATTTCACACAAGGGAAGCAGGTAGTGATGAACAGCTGAAAACATGTTTATCAGACTTATCGCTTTATTTTTGCACATCAAAAGCATGGTACAGTTACAGTGGAACTCGGATTCAACGAGGTCGCCTGGCCTGACCTAAAATCTCGTTGAATCCAAGTGTTCGTTATAGCAAACACGAGGTTTTGTGGAGATAATTACTGGCACTGAGCAAGTAATGTATAAAGAGAAGTCACACGTAATGCCTGAAATGCCTGCATATTATGAGCTGTGTAAAAAAAAGACCGATTCGTTCAAATGCACACGCCTGTGCCGTCTCGATTGTTTACCAAAAAGTTGTGCTGCAGTGTAGAGCCTAGCATACGGCAACTTTTGATTCCATAGACCAGCGAACAATTCATTACGTAGATCTACGTCAAGACTAGCTTTTCATTGTAATAATGATCAGTTACCGAGGGGGAAAAAAGACTGTGACGTGTTCGTATCTGCGACGTTCAACGCCCGGACCGCTAGCCCCCCCCCGACACGCTCACACAGTCACACCTGTGCAGGCCGTCCGTCCGACCCTGACACACACCAGAGTAGACACGTGCGCGTGCCAACAACACATGTGTTGGTATGGAAAAAAGCCGCTGATTGGTTGCATGCAATCGGCTAAGTGAATAATGGTTCACGATGCTGGTGCAATGGATGGTTTCCGGGAATAGATAAAGTTCGTTCTGGGAGAAAAATGAGCGAAGCTGCGTCTGCGGGGGATGTTCACCCTGGAAGCGACCTCGTTGAATCCGAGCTCGTTGTTTTAAGTGCTCGTGGAATCCGGGTTATTTTTTTATTTTAAAGAAGAAAAAAAATGGGGAATCTGTCTCATCTCATTGAATCCGAGTTCTCGTTGAATTTGAGGTCATTGAATCCGAGTTCCACTGTATTGTTTTATCATTTTTTACTCTGAACCCCCCTCTCCCCTGCATATTTTACATATTATGTGTTAAAAATGATCTTTGAAAACTTTGACGTGATTTTTAAAGGCTTTCCATTTAAATGCCAAAAATATACCTCGGGAAAGCCCGTTCAAAGCTCTATAGTTCTCTGCCAGTTAAAAGACGGTATTTAATCATCAGTCTTTCCCAGAAAGCATTAGAATGCATTGGTGTCCATTTTTGAACCAGCCGACCACGCATTCCGACTGTGACAGACTTCACTTTCCACGGCAATTCTCCAGCTCCAAATATTTGGATATACAAACAACTTACACCACTGTAACGAGGAAAATGTGAACTTTTTCACTGTGTACAGCATTTGGTGTTTTATAGCGAAAGAGCGAAGAAACAGCGGTCTAAATTACCCCGATTTCACCGAAACCACGAGCTCGGAAGTGCGTGAGTGCCTGCGAGGCTGTGTTTACGCTACCTATTGAGTGTCAGGAACTTCCAAAAATGAGTTCATCTTCATGACTATTTTAGTCACCACCAAAGATTGTAAAAAGCTAGTGCTCGCTAACTAAAAATTGTCTGTAAAATAATGTTCTCTTCTATTGTCTAGTTTTCTTGTTTTCACCTTTGATTTTCTTTCAGAATCACGATGGAGTATGGGGGTAGTGATGTGAGCCGCTTATTCCACTCTCTGTTGGCTCGCTGTGGCGTCGCTCTGCCTGAAGTGAATCTCACCTGCCCAGGAGATGTAGTACAGCTACAGGCCCTGAAAGAGACCTGCTGCCATCTAGATCAGGTAAATGGTTTTTAGTCTGCTGGAAAAATACCTTAGTACAAGTGGTCCTGGGCTGAAGTTTGATTACTAAGCTTTTTTTTTCAACCCATTGTTTCAGCTACGGAAAAATGTTTCTGTACAAGTAGCCCTGGATTAGTTGAGTCTGACTGTTAAAGTTTCCTTCATCTCATTGTCTTATCTCTGGAAAAACGTTTCAGTCCAAGTGGCCCTGGATTAGTTGTCTGATTGTTAAACTGTCCAACAACACATTGTCTTAGCTCTGTAAAAGCGCTTTAGTGCAAGTGACCCTAGACTGGAGTCTTATTTAAAGACTTTACTACAGCATGTTGTCTTATCTCTATATCTAACTCGATAATGTTGGACACGCGATGTCTCTTGCTTGGCGAAAATGAAAAGATAGTTTTATCTTTTGTTTCATTGTGCTGAATATCAGCCATTTTTTTACTCAGTAATATTAACGCAGTACCAGTATTTTAAGTAATGGGAAAGATATCTGGATATGTGCTCAGACTAGTGTAGATTGATGTGGTAGGTAAATGATGAAGTATGTAGATGATGATTGTGTTAGTAGGCTTATTATATGTAGGACATTGTTATTAAGTTAGGCGCTCGTCAAAATAATTAAATCAAGTAAACTAACATTGTTCCACTAGCTTATCTGTAGGGTTGAAAACAGTGAAAGTCTAGGGTGAGCAAATGCTTGTGTAATATTTATTGTTTTGGTTCTTGAAAAAAGCTTTCCCCAACTTTCTTCATAACCAGCCTTGATATAATATCAGCCTTTGACTGCACTCCTTGGATTGATTATTTTTAAACGTCTTTTTGCAATAATTTCCAACAGTTAAGCACTCATAGTCTGAGACACATTGCACCTCAGATGTTCCCTATTTTAAGCCTTTGAGACAGTCCTGTGAACATCAACCTGTCTTCTCCGAAAAAAATCAGTTTTATTTCTGCAAGTCACAAGTTTGTTCCACTACACTTTACACAAACGTTTCATCCTGCCCGCTGTGCTCCTCTAAGTACTTCTTTTTGTTTGTGTGAATTGAAAAAAAATCGTTCAACAACAGGCACTCTCCTCTTTCCCCACTTTTAGCATTGACTTGTTTTATCATACAAAAGGAATCAAACTAGAATTTATATAAATCCTTACACTTGCCTGCTATTTCCCAAACCATCAAACCTTAAGATTCATAGGCCTAAATAGACTGTTACGATTGTCAATATCCTTTTATGAACTTTATTACCTATAAAGATTACGGTGTGATTAGCCAAACAAAATAAATCTATTGTTGTAGTTCAATTTCCATTTGACTTATGTCCCCAGGACCAGAGTGAGATCAGTCAGCATGCTTTGGAGATTCACAAGCCAGACAAGTTTGTGATGAAGTACAATGTGAAGCTGGGCGATGAACCCATACTGGCCCCGATGGCTCTGTTTAGACCTATGGCCTTTGGATTGCTGGGCCAACACCTCATCCACGTCCAAGGCCGCAACGAAGGGGATGCTGATGACCCACACGATGAAGACTACTTACGACAAACTCAGAGGCAGTCATGGGTAATAAAGACGGAAAAGAGTCGTGTTTTAGGGTTTTTCTTCACCAGGTCTCAGTGAAAGAACAAAGAGAACAAGACCTTTGTTCATTTAGTACTTTCTTGTGTGCATTTGAAGAAAGAGATGTGTTCGTGAATGCCTTTCTATGCCATAACAGAGGTACAGAATTTAGATTAATCCTTTTGCAGTTTTTGGCATTGTTATATCTGTCAGTAGTGCTTTTCAGTGCAAGGTGGCCAGCTCCATACATTTCTTACCGCAGGCTTCTGTGACTTTGTTCTCTGGAATCTCATTATGTACAGCAGAAAAAACATTCCAGTGTCTGGTTTGGTAGCCTTTAGCTTTGAAAAAGGATTTTTAATTTCATAAAGATATATAATTTTTGTTGATAAGAGGAAGCCTCTGGTAGGTCTTACTCTTTACCATCTCTCTTTTGCTTCTGTCTGTCTTTCTTACTTTTTCCCTTCACTAAATGACTGTTGTTTTATTAGGTACCAGAAACTAAATTTTCAAAGTAGCTGTATGCCAAGTCTATCTGTTCCATTTGAAAGGCCCATATCCACTGAGCATTGTGGTACAGTAGTCTCCGCCTAAACGCACGCCATACAAAAGCACGCTCCGCTCAAACGCACGCTTTCGTCATCTGACGGGTTTTTTGCTATATAATTTAGACGTACAAACGCACGGTCACTCCCTCTAAACGCAGGCTCCGATCCGCGAAACACGCCGACAAGTTAAGCTTGGCAAGGGGAAATTTTCACTACAACCTGCACAGCCTGCATAAGACAAGCATAGAATTTACTAGAAAACCAGATATTTGGTGAGAGTGCCCCTCATGCTGTGCAAAGAGAGTAATGGTCGGGGGTGGTCGCTTGGAAAGCCACGTAGCTGGTCCGTCGTCTCTATGACTATGACCAACAGTTTCGTCTTAAGCTATCTGTTCCCGACGTTTACAGTGCATATTAATTTCATTGAGTTTGTCTTTCTCCCCCCCCCCCTCAACGCCTTTGTATTCTTAACCCCTGTAGACCTGCATGTTTGCCGACAATCGTCTGAAATCCGACAATCGCGACCCGACCCGCGAGCCGGCAGATGCTATCGCTAGGCCCACCTGTATCAGTCAATGTGCAAAGTGCGAAGCCTGGCCGACTGCCAGCGCCCCCTTTTTCTCCCGTCGGCTTTGTCGGCACTTTCGTTTTCGTGCCGACGTCGGCGTTTCCGACATAATTGTCGGAACCCAGGTAGAAATGCGAATACGAAAAAGGACGACGACCTAAATTATCTACTTTCAGTTTCGTGCTCGAGCGGACATTTTGAATTTCGTTTGTTCACAAATTCAATTGTTCAGATCATGTGGATTCATTCAAGTCCGAATCACATGTTCTAGATCTATCTAGATCTAGATTTATATAGATCATTATAGACCTCAATGGAGGATTCATATTCCAAATTTATTGTGTCAAACCCAATCATAGGTTGTGCTGTAGTATTAAAAAAGCATTTTATCAGGTGCGTGAATTATTTATTTATTTCTAGATTCTAGTTCAAGGCCTATTCCTATTCACTTGTTCTACAAGATCTCGATCTAGAATCTAGATCTAGATCTAGATTTATTTAGATATCTAGATCTAATCTAGATCTATATGGAGGATTCATTCCAATTCTATTGATAATTGTGTTATTGTATCAAACCCTATTATACTATACTATATAGCCTAGATCTAGATCTAGCAATGTAGATGTAGGTCTAGGCCATACTAATGCATGCTCCTTGTTTGTTTTGGAGTGTGGTTTTTTAATTTTTTCATTTTGGACTTGTGCTGGCCTTTTTACATGAGACCCGTTGCAGGTTCTTTTTAGGGGTATGCCTAGGGTTAGGTCTCTTCTTTATTGTGTTTGTTGGGGTGGTCGCTCGTTACTCGGAAGCCCTTCCTTTTGACACCCACGAAATTTAATTGATATTTTTTTTAAGCCGCTAATTTACTTATTTCGAGTAAAAAATGATCTTTGAAAATTTTGACGGTATTTTTACAGGCTTTCTATTTAAACAACAAAGGCCAAATTTATACCACGGGAAAGTCCGTTTAAAGTTCTACAGTTCTCCGCCAATGAAAAGCGGCATTTAATCATCCCTCGTTCCGCGAAGCATTTGAATGCACGCTTGTCAATTTTAGAATCGGCCGACCACGCATTCCGAGCGCGAGGGGCTTCGCTTTCCTCGGCGATTGTCCAGCTCCTAATAATCGAACATATACACAACTTACACCATTGTAACGAGGAAAAGCTGAACTTTAACAAAGTGTATGTCCTTTGGTGTTTTATAGCGAAATCACAAAGAAACAGCGATCGGAATTACCCCGATTTTACAGATACCAAGCGGTCCACGGCGTACAGACAGCGCTCTTTTAGTTGGATCGGCGATGGAGTGACCGGGTCACGGCGGGCCGGTCACCCAGAGGTCACTAACCCGCCCTCCCGCTACCTGCGTCGGTAGCCGGTGAAATGAATTTTTCAACACATGTTTTATCGTCTTACACACAAAAAAAATATCATACGTGAACACAAGTTTGTTCTTTAGAGAAAGCAACTAAACCTCTTTATTGGTACGAAATAGCAATACCATGGCTGCTCACGTTTTTGAGTTAGCTGCTCTTAAAATGTATGTCTATTTATAGTTAGTCAAAACAACAAACACATATTGAATGGCTAATAACTTATAAGCCTAACGATAAATATTTACAAAACTGCCACGTAAGACAGGAAAATGTGTTTAGAAATTGACTCACTCAAAATTTTGTTTCCAGCACGAACATGGAACTTGTCATGAGCATGATAGCCAAAACGCTTCCCTGCATTCATGACTTTTTGTATCCAATGGATTGTGTATCCTCCTGAATAATGATATACTGACGTATCTTCAATATACAGCACCGATTTCTTTTCACGAAATGAACATGTACAGAATAAAAGTATACATTTATACAATTTTTCTTTCTAAACATATCCAGCAGCACGCAATGAGGGAGCTATTTGCAGGAGATGCGACACAAAAATAAAACGCATTATGTCTATCTGGTTTGGGATCCTTCATACTCTGGCTTCCAGTTTTGAGATCACTTGGTGACTGCTTTCTGTGTCCTGTTCTCCTAAAAGCCCGAGAGCAAACATGTGTTGTTGTATGTGTGGAATACAGTGTTGTTATGATATGTGTGGCTTTGGGATAACTTTGCGGGGAAATAGCGTCTGAATGCGGACATGTAATTGTCGATTGCTAAGAAGATTTGTGGAAGTGAAAATCGTTCGACTGGTTTGAAATTTGATATTGCAGTGTGAACATGGCTAAATCTTTCATTGAGAAGATTGAATATTGCTTCCATTCCTTTTGCCTCCTCAATTTTTGCAGTTTTGACGGAGTATTTTCTTGTTTCTGTACAAATTGTGTTTGTTAGTTCCTTGCATACATGGGGATGGAGGGAGGTATGTTTGGGGTGTTTTACGTTGTTAGCTTGAAATTGATCTTTGTATGCAGCCACCTAAGCGGTACCGACAAAACGGAGAAGGAATTCATATTTCTGCTATTGTCAAACGCACACCACGTGTTCCTACTAGTGTCAACTGCTTTTTTGCGGCATAAATTGACGTGACGTAACACCCTATCTCCCTTTGATAGTTGAAATCGCGGTAAAACACTTGACACAAATGTTAGCGGAATACGACTGTTCATTTTCGTCCCTCACATCAATCCCATAAATCAAGAGAATATCTCCTGCCATTGTCTTACATAATCGGGGCTTTCTGCACTTTTTTTGTTTGACAGTTAAATTTAAACACCAACACACCCGACAAAGTCCATTCAGAGACTCTATGCCTCTCATATGTGTGACTGGCCCATTGCAGTTTAACGATTTTTACTTAGGAACACAATTCACTAACTGATAGCCAGTCACTGCAAAGTGCTGGAAAAACAAAATTCACATCATTAGAAAATATGATTTGATGGCTATCACACCGCGCAAACAGAAATAAAGACCATCGTTCCATTCTTGAATGATTTGTAATTAAATTTGAAGAGATAACATTATTATCGGCGCTTCCAATCACTTAACACTCACAATTTAAAACTGTTATTATTCCCAAACGAATCAATGAAAACTGTTGAAACTTTCACAAGATATCAAGAAGACGTAGACGAAGCGGAATTGGTGAAGAAATAGATTCTAGGGGTAGAGTGAGCATCATTTTACGGCTCATGAAATTAGGGGAAGAAACGCGTTCTGATAAGGACAAGATAGGACAGCGCTGTGCACGAGTTGACCCCGGTCAATCCCCGACTTGACGCGTGAAATTGCAGGTCACCTGCCGCTAATTTATGGCCTACCGCGGGGGGCCCGGACTAACTAAAAGATCGCTGAGACGGAATTTCGGACGCCGTGGGTCGGAAGGCCGCAAGTGCCTGGGAGGCCGTGTTACGCTACCTAGTTGTATCGATATGGTCCTTCTCAATGTTAACTTGCAGTTGTCTTGATTTGTATCTTGTCATAAAGTAGCGTCTGTTACTTTGAGTTCATGCCATATTATCTGAGGTGGAACTTTCCTCAGGCTGGAAGGCTGGCAGGCTCAAAGAAGGATGAATCAGAAATGTCCCGAGAAACTTCAGAGCAGAACCTGAGCCAGCTGGATGATCTGACAAATGGACCTTTGGATGAAGACTCAAACGATGTTCCTGATGTTATGTCCACCTCAGGTCCATAGACTCAACAAGAATATTGGCTTCAGTTTAAAAGCATTTCAAAACCCATAAACAGAGTTTGTGGATAACTTTTTTTATTTTACTCATAACAATAACATCTTAGTATGAACATGTATCTGCTGAGTGAACTTGTTTAATGAAAAGATCAAGGATTACAGAAAACCTCGAAAACTGTTGGAAGAAAAGCAAAAAGCAGTAGGTAGGTTGCAAAGGGAGCCAAGGGGCTAGGACAAGAAGCAAGAAGAGGATGTGGATATGGGATAAGAGTTTTCTTTTTTTCTCTTTTTATCTGTGAAGGGGAAGGGGGAGGGGTGAAATAAAGGTTCAGAAAAGCAGCAGAGGGAGAAGGAAAAAAAATGAGTGCAGGATCATGACATCAAATTGGACAAGTGTGATCTAGTTTTAAAATGAGTTGCTTAGTTTTACACTGCCTCACAACATGCATTGTCTTCAGACTGAACTTTTGGTAAACAAGCTATGTATATCCTGAAATAATTTATGATATGTGTGTTGCTAAATTCTTTACAATGTTTTTTTTTAACGTCTATTTATAAATTTATAAATTGAAGGCAAACGAGGCATGGGTAGACCCAAAGCAACCTATTTTGACAACCTAAACAGATGGGTGATGGGGAAAGATCAGAATTATGAAACTTTTGTTAGAGTATCCAAGCGAAAGAGTGAATGGAGAATCATGATTGCCAATGTCAGTTGCAGATTTGGCACTTGATGATGATGATTTATAAGTGGTTTTAGGGTTTTAGTACTTAGCTGCTGACTTGGTGTGACTAAACTGTGGTTCTCTCTCTCTCAGGTATTGATACAAACTAAAACTTTTAAAGAACATTCCAACTTTATTTAAATTTTGTATTTTGAAATGGTTAATCCTTAAATCATAGGTGGAACCAATGATCTGTGAATAATATAAACAGATACAGTGGAACTCGGTTTCAACGAAAGGAGTTGGATTCCCCAATTATTTTATTCTTAAAGATTAGTAAAAATAACTCGGATTCAACGAAGTCGCCTGTAGGGTGAACTGCTCTATGTAACCAAACCGACGCTTCCTTTCATACCAACACAAATGTTGTTATTACGCACCCATGTCTTAGTGTGTGTCGGGGTCGGAAGGGCGGCCAGCACATGTGTGACTGTGTGTGCATGTGTCTGGGGGGAGGGAATACAAACGGTCCGGGCTTGGAACATCAGAAAGAGATACAAATGCGACTTACAGTTATTTTTTTTCCCTGGCTGCTGATCAATATTACAGTGACAAGCTAACCTTGACTTAGATCTACGTAATGAATTGCATACTGGACTGTGGAATCAAACGTTACCGTATGCTAGGCTCTACATAGCAATATAACTTGTTATTTTTGGCAAACAATACGTTATAGATGATACATAACACAGTCGTGAATTTGAACAAATTGGCCCTTTTGCACAGAGTGCTTGGTAGAGTTCAGAGTATTTTCCAGCATTTCTTTGGTATCAAAGAAACGAAAATGCCTCTAGTTTGAAACCAAACTACTTTTGATTGAGAAAGTCGAATACATTATACATTACTTGCTTTGTGCCTGTAATTATCTACACAAAAACCTTATATTTGAAATAACAAACACTCAGATTCAACGAAATTGAAGGGCAGGCCCGACAACTTCGTTGAATCCGAGTTCTACTGTAGCAGTTTGACAAAGAGGGCTGCAAGAAGAGTAAGTGCAACATTTGACTGTCCTCAGAAAATGCCAAATCAAATCGGCGAGTGGAAGATGAAGAGGATGAAGACATGGATGATGAAAGTGATCTGCACTTGATGGGTGTTGATGAAGCTATCATTCACTGCATTGAGAAATGTGGTAAGGTTGAAATTTTTTAGATTGATTTTTACTTCTCGAACATGTGGATCGATTTTGACGTACCTTTTGTTGGATTTTATTTGTTCAAAGTTTTATTGAAATTGATGCAAGTATGACTGAGTTATTGGCTTTTAGGTGGCTCCTTTTTTTAAGAGGCGACACCCTGTATCAATAATTAATTCTGCTTCCTTCTTTCATTTTCCTTTCTTTTTCGTACTGCTTTTCACGAAAAATAATGTGTAACTATTTTACTATTAATGTTGCCAGGACAGTCTCATCATGATGAATTTGGTTTTGCCATTAGAAAAACATTAGTTGCACAGAAGCCTGGAGCAAGGCAAATATTAGTTTGACAAAGTGCTAATAAAATCCCTGCAGTTTTGTATTGTTGGTCATGATTATAGTTTTTTTAATGCATTCTGCTGTTCTTTCAGTGTCTTTTGTTTTCGCAGGATTCAAGCTCACAGCCAATAACTATCTACCCCTCCCTTGTTTTTTCTTAACTTGTCAATGACAAACCTGACGAGACAACTTTCATCGTGCCTTTGTTTACATTACATTTATCCTTGGACTGTAACCACTTTTCCTGACACCCTGAGGAAACAGATTATCCGTTACCATACATTTGCTTTGCATATATATTTAAGCCAGATTACTCATTTTTTTCTTCTTGTTTACGGTACTAGAATATGCAGGTAGAAGGGCAACCTTGTGTTGTGCAAACATATTTCTATCCCAATCACGTGTCTTTCTTTCAGACTCTGAAGAACTGCGTCGTAAACTATACAGTTGCATCCTAGTGGTCGGTGGCGGCCTTCAGTTTGAAGGGGCCATGACTTGGCTGCAGTACCAAGTGTGGCAGTCAATGCCAGCTCAAATGAGGCTCCAGCTGGAGACCATGGATATCATTACAAAGCCAAAGGTGAATAACTGCAAGGGCAATCTCTTCTTAGTGTTAGAACACTTCATTAATCCAGGGTTCCCGCGGCCTCCTTGAATTCAAGGAGTCCTTGAAAACTCCTTGAATTTGCATTCAAGGAAAAATCTTGAATTTTGCCAGATCGGACAGGAACACGTGCACAGAGTGACTGCCAGGCCCCTGGAATTACCCAAGAATTTGAAAAAAATCGCTGAGACCCGGAATGCAACGGGAATTTGAAGATATCTGTAAATTGCCCGTGAAAGACGCGGGAAAATACAAGTTCTCGAATATAGGAAAACCAAATCCGATAACGTCCTTGAGTTCAATTTTGCCGGTTGCAATTGTCATATAATGTAATTCATTCTGCCTTTCCCGGCCTGAGAGTACGTTACACGCGCACAGGCGGTTATAGCGGGAACAAGTGGAACTGTATGTGCGATACCGAAGCTCAATCGGGAAAATCAAGATCCACTTTCGCTACCACCAAGAAATTTGCCGGTAGGGCCTATAGTAGTCTGATAGCGCCACATTTGTAACATGCAGGTTCCGCATTACATACACTGTGTCACCGTGAAAATAATTCATTTGTCCTGTATGTGCTGTCACTTGTGAAAAAAACAGAAAGAAGAAAGCTTCTTATCGGGCTCGCCGTCGTGACCGGTCATTGAACCTGTGCCTTTTCATCACATCGTGAGTATCGGCGATGGTTGAGGTCACCAAAGTTCATGCTAAGTCTGAGCGCTGTGAAGTATAGGACTCGGGAATGGGGGGATTATTGATTTTTTTTAAAAATACACT